CATTAAAATTTAAAAATTTCTGCTCTGTGAAAGACACCGTCAAGAGAATTAAAAAGTCAAGCCACAGACAGAGAAAATATATGCAAAAGGCATATTTGATGAAGGATTGTTCTCCAAAATGCAGAAGGAACTCTTCAAGCTTGTGTATGAAAACATAGATACTCCTAGAAAATGCAAACTAATCCCTAGTTACAGAGAGCAAATCAATGGTTGCCTGGAGATGGGAGTGGAGGGAGAGAGGAGTTGCACTGAGTCATGAGTAGACTTTTGTGGGCAATGGAAGTGCTCATTATCTTGATTGGGGGAGTCTTTTAAGTTGATTTTTATTGGAGAATAGTTGCTTTACAATATTGTGCTAGTTTCTACTGTACGAGCAAAATGAATCAACTTTACATAAACATGTGTCCTCCCCCTTTTGGACTTCCTTCCTATTCACCATATTTCACTACGCAGAGGTCTCTGTACTATACAGTAGGTTCTCATTAGTTATCCATTTTATACATAGTATCAATAGTGTATATGCGTCAACCCTGGTCTCCCTATTCCTCCCACCCATGATTGTGCTTTTCATTTCACAGATGTACATGAATGTCAGCACTCATCCAATCATATACTTTAAATTTGATCATTTTATTATGTCATTATACCACAATAAATCTTTTAAAATCCCTAACAGAGCTGAGAGAAAAGAGGAAAACTCACAGATAACCAGGATCAGAAATAAAAGAGAGGATATTGTTACAGATCCTACAGACACCAGAAAACAAGGAAATTTTATGAGACTCTACACCAATAAACTCAGCTACATACATGAAGTGAACAAATTCCTTGAAAAAGAAACTTATCAAAACTGATACAGCTTGAAATAGATGCTCTGAATGGTCCAATATCTATTAACACAACTGAGTTGGTTATTGTTTCCATGAAAAGAATTTCCAGGCCCAGAGTGCTTTTCTGCAGGGGGGAGGTTTTATTAAACACATGAAGAAGAAATAATACAACTCTTACACAAACTCTTTCCAAAAACTGAGAAGAAAATGTTTCTCAAATAATCTTAGGAAGTCAGCATAAGCCTGATACCAAAACCTGACAGAAACATTGTTAAAAAAAAGAAAAAGTACAGACCAGTATTCCTCATGAAACAGATGCAAAAATCCCTAATATAATACTAACAAATGAAATCCAGTGATATATAAAATGATAATACATCATAATTAAGTAGAGTTTTCCCAAGGAATGCAAAGATGGTATAACATTTAAGAATCAGCCAATATAATTGACCATATTGACAAAATAAATGGGTAAAATAATATGATCATTTCAAAAGATCTGACAAAACTCAGTGCCCATTTGTGACCAAAACTGCCAGCAAACTTGAATGAGAAGAGCACCTTTTCAATCTGAGAAGAGAAAAGTGAAAATGCTAGTTAACATCGTATTTATTGCTGAAACATTGAGGGTTTTTCTCCTGAGACTGTGAACTAGGCAAGAAAGTCTGCTTTCACCTTTCTTCTTCACTATTGTACTAAAATTCCTGGCTAGCATAGTAGAGCAAGGAAAAGAAAAAGTCTCATAGATTGGAAAGGAAGAACGAGACTCCCTAAACTTACAGATGCCATGATTATTTATGTAAGGGCTTCCCTTGCAGCTCAGCTGGTAAAGAATCCGCCTGCAATGTGGGACACCTGGGTTCGATCCCTGGGTTGGGAAGATCCCATGGAGAGGGAGGGGCTACCACTCCAGTATTCTGGCCTGGAGAATTCCATGGACTGTAAAGTCCATGGGATCTCAAAGAGTCAATGATTATTCATGTGAAGATTTTTAAATAATATATGAAAATAACTACTGGGACTCATAAATACCTTTAATAAGATCATAGGACACAAAGTCAATATGTAAAATCAATTCTAGCAGCAAGTAGATAGAAATTAATTTCTAAATAATTTCATTGTAATAGTATAAAAAACATAAAATATTTAAAGATAACTAAAGGTGTGCAAGACCTGTATATTAAAAAGTAGAATGTATGTGTTCATCCCAAACTTCCTAACTATCCCTTTCCCCCATCCTTCCCCCTGGCAACCATAAGTTTGTTCTCTAAGTCTGTGAGTCTGTTTTTGCAAGTAAGTTCACTGCTATATTTAAAATGCGTAACCAACAAGGACTTGCTGCCCAGCACATGGAGCTCTGCTTGATGTTATGTGGCAGCCTGGATGGGAGGGGAGTTTGGGGGAGAATGGGTACATGTCTATGTATGGCTGAATCCCTTCACTGGTCACCTGAAACTACCTCAAGATTGTTTGTTAATGGGTTATAACCCAATATGAAATTAAGTGTTTTTAAAAAATCATTGCCAAAAATAAATGAATAGAACGTAGAAAGTAACATGAAGAGAAATTAAAGAGCTAAATGAATAAATAAATGATGTTCATGGCTTGGAGACTAAATATTGTTACAAAGCAAATTCTCTCCAGATTGAACTATGAATGTTTATAGTTTCAACACAATTCCAACCCAAATATCAACAAGACTTTTTTTTTCAGAACTGACAAGTTGTTTCTAAGATTTAAACAGAAATACAGAGTAGCTAAAATAGCCAATTTTCAAAATAAACAGCCTAGTGGGAGAACACACACACCCTGATTTCAAAGTGTGTCAAAAGCTACCGTAATCAAGATGGCATCCCAGAGAAATAGATCAATGGATCATGATGAAAAATCCAGAGATAGATCTATCCATATTCAGTCAATTGATTTTTTACAAAGGTATCAAGGCAATGGCACCTTCAATGAGAAAGAAACATCTTTTCAGCAAATGGGCTGGAAAAACTAAGAAAAAGTGGAGGAAAAAAAAAATGACCCTTATCCTTTACTTTACATTACACATTAAAATTAGTTTGAGCTAGACAGGAGATCTAGACACAAAAAACTAGAACTATAAAGTTCCTGGCAGAATACATAGAATAAGAATATCTTCATGAACTTGAGACCAGCAAAGATTTCTTAGAAAGGACTCACAAAAGCACAACCACAAAAGGAAATATTGACAAATTGAACCTCAAAACCGAAAACCTCTCTTCATCAAAACTCCACACTGAGAATACAGAAAGGCAAATCACAGATGGAGAGAAAATATTTGAAATACGTGTATCTGATAAAGGGATTATATCCAGAATATTTAAAGAATTCTCTACAATTCAAAAATCAAACAAAAAGAACAAGATTGAGTAAACACAAAGAAGGTACACAAATGGACAATAAGAGCATGTAAAATTACTCAATATCGTTAGTCATCAGGGAAACAAATGGAAAGCACAATGAGCTATCACTTACATTTGTCAGAACGGTCAGATTCAAAAGCTTGATGGGCTCTGTGGTTGGTAAGGATGTGGAGCAATGAGAACTCACTTGCATTGCTGGTGGGAGTATAAGACGGTCTACTCTTCTTGGAAACTGTTCTAAGTTTTTAAAGGTTAAGCCCATCCCATCATAAAACAACTCCCCTCCCCTGAGTATTTACTCAGGAGAAAAGAGAACATATGTCTATAAAAGTGGATACAACCCAAATGTCTGCTAATAGAAGAATAAGTAATTAGATTGTTGTATATATGCATACAATGAGGCATTACTCAGCATGTGAAAGAAGAATAAACAGCTGATACATGCAGCAAAATAGATGAATCTCAAAAGCATTATGTTGTACAAATGAGCACATATTCTATGATTATGTGTATATGGAGTTCATGAACAGGGAAAACTCACTTAACAGTGATAGAAACTAGAGCAGTGTTTGCAGCGTGCATGGCCTAGAAGAACCATGAGGGAACTTTCTGGGCCAGTAGAGATGCTATCTTCTGACTGGGGTGGTGGTGACATGGTATTTGGTTACTCAAAACTCATCAAATTGTACTCTTATCTGTGAATTTACTGTATGTAATTTTTGCCTCAGTGAAACAGTTGCCATGAATATACATTGTTGTTCAGCCTTGTTATATGTTGTTATACCCCAGAAAGTTCCAAATTCCTTCCTCAAAAAACCTACAGCGAAACACAAAAAAGAACATAAAGCCAAACAATAATAAACAGTCTATTAACACAATGTCAAAATATTTAGGGGACAAGTAACATATTGTTTGTCCCTTAGAAAGTCCATTTTAAAACCATGTTCTTGGGTTCTGGTGGTCCAATGGTTAAGACTCTGTGCTCCCAATGCAGGGGCAGGCACTGCTTCCATCTCTGATTGAGAAACTAAGGTTCCACAAGCCATACTGTGCGGCCAAAATAAATAAAATAAAGGGATGCTAACTTGCTAAAAGGAAAAGGAAACACAATGTTAAAAAAAAATAAAAACATGTCTTTCTAACCATATAATTAAAAATAAAACGAATAGTTTTTGTTTAATTCTGGTGTTCTGTATCACAAAATAAAAGCAAAATACAGTAACTGATTTTTTTTTTTTTTGCCAAGCAAACCTAATCTGTATTGTTAGAAGTCAGGATGGTGGCTTCCCTTGGGAGAGGGTACAACTGAGGGAAACACAAGGAGAGCTTCCTAAGGGGTAGCGAGGTTCTGTTTCTTGATCTGGGTGTTGATCACACATATGTATTCATGGTGTAACAATTCATGAAACTTTGTGCTTATCGTATATGCTCATGTATATATGTATATATATGCATCCACTTTTCTCAGTGTTTCTCAATTGTATTTGTATAAAATTAAAAACAGAAATAAATTAACCCTTAAAAGTTAACCATAGTGAAAGACTGGCCAATGATGAATAAATTCAAAGTAGAAGTTGGGTTTTTTTTTTTTTTGAAAGAGAAGAGCAAAGAAGCCAGAGAGACAGGAAAGAAGGATGGACATCATGCCTGACATTCGATGATCCTCATTCAAGGTCAGTTGTTATGACTATTACTTTCCTAAGGTTTATCTGCAAGATCTCACAAACAGCTGGGGAGGAGAATTAAGACAGGGCTCTGGGTTTGCGTGGTGCCAGGTTACCTCTGAACAGCCCAGGAGGTGGTGATGCAGATGGCAGTGGTGTTGGCAAGCTCCTGGACCATGGCTGATCGGTCGGTGGGGCTGACGCCCCACAGCAGGCTGGCATGACTTTTGATCTTGGCAAGAACGATGTCCTCGGGTCTGTAGTCCGCTAAAAACTGCATGGCAGACTGGGGGCAGAAGGAGAAGGGAAGCATGCATCAGAAGGCAACGCACCTCTAGGGTCATCTGTCATTTGGGTTCATCTCTGTGTGCTTGTTGAGCTGATTTGCCTCCTCTTTCCCCCACCAGGTCTCTTGCATTTTAATAGCTGGAGCATCATGAAGTGTCCATATCTGGTTGGGATGTGAGAGAAGGAAATGCACGGGTGGGGCCTGCAGGGCTGGGGGCTCCTCTGGACTCGTGAGACACTCACGGGATGGAGAGCATATTGCTGGGTCAGCCGGTCGTAGTCTGCGTCTGAGAAAGGGACCAGGTTGTGCTGCTGAGCGCTCATGGAGAACAGGGTCTGGCAGAGAGGAGGATGGTGAGTAGGTGGGCTTCAGAAAGCTGGCCGTGCTAGTGACTGAAATGGGGGCAAAACTGCCAAGCTGTGCTCAAAGAACCTCTCTCCTCCCTGGGGAGATGGGTGTCGGAATTAAGCACATGAGGTGCAATGAGCTAAGGTGCCAAGAGGTCAGACTTGGGGAAGAGATTCAGATCTCTTCTCTTGTGAAAGCAGCAGGAGAAGGAGACGGGAAGGGTACACATGGGGGAAAAGAACAAGGATGAAGGCTCGGGAGCTGGGGTCTGAGCTCTGAACCCACACCCAGGACCACAGCTTGGAGAACAAGAAAGAAGGTGCCAGCCCATTCCTCCATCCAAGCACAGACACCCTCTACCTTCCCTCCCCTCCAGACACCTCATAACCGTTGATGGCGATCTTGACTGACACTTGCAGGGGCTGGTTGGTCACGCCGCCCACCGTCTTCACTAGGGACATGAAAACCAGGGGGAACCACATGAGGAAGACCAAAGCAAATGTGGCGATGCCTCCGAGCCCATACTTCATGGCCCTCTTCTGCGGCCGCCCAGGAGGCTGGGGGTATTTCTGCAGGAGTGGAGGGCGGCAGGTCAGGGCAGGCAGATGCGGACTCAAGGGAGGCAGGTTGGTGAATGATTCCCCTGAAAGCTTGGGGAAGGTGGTCAATTCAGGGAATGTCCAGTGGTCCACAGAGCTGGGCTCAGAGAGAGTTGGACCCAAGTGCAGACCCCACATTTTCCCAGCTGCATCACCTTGAGCAAAAAGGCACTCTGAACAGCCTGCCTCTCTGTGAAATGGGAATAAAATGGTACCTGCTCCATTAAGGAGTGGAGCACTCATGAGGTGATGATAAGAGAGCTTAGCACAAGGTCTGCCATTTCCTTGAGGACTTAACTACAAACTCCTGAATCCCAAGTGAAGCTGGGCCAGGACTATGCTGTGAGGGGAGCACCTTGCCTACTGGGCAGGGCAGGACCCTCATTGCTCCAGGCAGATAGGGTTAAGAGCAGGAAACTTGCTGCGTGCCCACCTTCTCAGACTCCTGGTGGCATTTCATGATGAAGATGTTGGCGTACAGGTCCTCCAGGCAAGTCCAATTGGACAGGCTGAGGGAAGTGTTAGTCCACATCCAGTCTATGACAGCCCTTAGCTCTAGGAGGAAAGGTACTACGCGGAACCTGGGAGCAGGGAAGACCATGGGAAGCTGGAGGGTGCTGGTCCACCTAGTGGTCCTGCCCATCCATCCATCGCACTTGTCTGTGTGATGCTGTCTAATCCCTGTCCTTTCCCCTACCCCATCCATCCGTTCAGTGCCATCTACTGTCTCATCCATCCTTTCCTGTGTCCTCCCATCTCACCCCACTCCATCCCAGCCACCCCATGTATTCTCCATCCTTTCAGCAAATAATCTTACACGCTACCCAGCCTCATGCTAAGTATCTAGGTTATGTGGGTGAACAAGAGAGATAAACACAGCCGGTTCCCTCTTGCCCTGGTTCAGGCCGCATGCGGGTCCCGGGACCCTCCTCGGCATGTGGCCAGATTGGAGAGACCCGGTCCTCCCAGATGTGGGCCCAGAATTTGTCCTGGGTGGGTCCTAAGAGTCCCCTGCGGGACGCTGCCGAGTGCATCTGAAATGTCTCACTCACCCTTTGAACAAGATGAGGTTGACGAGACTGAAGTTTTTGGTCAGGCAGTTGCCGAGGATCCAGTTTGGGTAGCCATGCCTGATCTGGTAGGCGGACAGGCCAAAGTAAATGCACTTCACCAGGTACCAGGTCTGAGCCACGTGGTTGAGGTTAAACCGCCTGCAAACGCCCAGAAAAGCAGGTTATCCTGGCTGTGCATGGGCCTCTCTGCTCAGCAGCCTTGGACCCTCAGGGACCCACACTGTGCTCTGGACTCATCAAAGCCAAGAGGAGATCTGGGGCTATTATTTCAAGAATAATTGTTAGTCGGGGGAGAAAGGAAGAAAAAGTGAAAACTGCTTTTCCTCCAATGATTTGGTTTGCAGGTGGCCCCTGGGGACGCTTGGGCTCCCTGTACTTTTCCTGGAAAAGGTGAGTTTCTATTTCCCCCTTCATCACCTCTTGACGGAAGAGCCAGGGCCTCAGCTGCCCTGTCAGAGCCATGCCCTTCCCGGGATGGCTGCTGCTGGTTTATCATTAAGATAATCCTTAAATCCTCTCGTGGGACCAACAGAGACAATCTAATCAGAGGGGGCCTCAGCAAGTTCCTGACGTGCTTCTTGGCAGAACGGGGAGAAATGAGCCCCAGCAAGGCTGCCGCGAATGTCTCTTCCAGAGGAAAGTTTAGAGCCAGGCCCTGGGGTCCCAGGGAGGTTTCAGGTCTCTGCTGCTCCAAACCTGGGCTTGGAGCCCCAGGCCCAGAACCACCCTGCATCCCACCACTTCTCAGCTGGGACCAAGTCTCCAAGTCTCCCCAGCAGGCCGAGTGTTGGCCTTTATGTTGGGGTTTGGGGAATGAACGTAAGCTCGGTGGAGCCAAGGAGGTCCCTGGAGGAGGTTCACAAGGCCTGATAAACATTCCTCGGGCTTATTTACAAAGCTGCTCGGGGCGGGTGGGGGGGGGGTCCCTCGGTGGTTCAGCCCTCTGCTTCTCATTCCCCGGGAATCACAAGATGCTCCCTCAGCAGGTGGTCTGTTGCCTTTTTCTCTTCGCGGGGTGCGGCGGTGGGTGGGGAGGGCAGGGAGAAAGGAGAGCCAGCAAGGTGACCAAGATACCTCATGGTGATGCCGGGCAGGATGAAGAAGAGCCAGAGGTGAGTGCCGAGGACAAGGAGGATCTGGAAGGCGCACTTGCCCAGCACGGCCTTCCTCAGGTACAGCGCGCGGTCCACGAGCATCATGCCGAACTGGACAAGCACCATCACCAGGAAGGCCCCGGGCACCGTCTCCTCCGACAGCGACTCCGCCAGGTCGGAGGCCGAGTGTTTCTACGGGAGCCAGAAAGGCGTCTTAGGAAGCGGCCGGCGGGGCGATGCATGGCCGAGAGCCCCCCTGGTTGTGTCCCCACCAGCCTTGCTCCTCAGACGCTTCAGGAGGCATCTCCCTTCTGAGCCTGGGTCTCGGGGCCTCTCCACCTCTCAACCTGGGGACCAGCCTCCAAGTCCTCTCTTGTAGAGGCCTCACTCTCCTGGCGTCCCTGCTCGTGGGTCCCTCCCTCGGCCCCTGGAAGCCCCTGGACTCTGATGCCCTTCTCTCTCTGTCCTGATGCCCTTTGAGTCTCGTTCCAATGCCTCCAAACTCCAGAAACCCTCTTGAGCTCCCCTCCCGCTCCCTTCCCATCCCCAAGTGCACTGCTTGGGGATGGGATGTCACCTCCCCTCTCCCCTCGGACCATGGAGCACAGGCCAGACCTGAGGGAGCTCCGGGCAGGTGAGGCCTCCCTCCAGCCCTGCTCCCATTGGCAAGGGGCCCCGGTCCCAGGCATGAAGGTCTGGGCCTTGATGAATTCTGGGGATGGGCAAAGGGGACAGAGGCTCTGGACCAGAGAAGGGAGCCATCAACATGGGGGAGGCCCTGTGTTCCCACCGAAGCCCCTGCCCCATCAGTATCCAGCTTCCCCTTACTTAGTACAAGCTTTTCAGAGAGGCACTAAAACAACAACAAGCTGGACAAGCCCCGGAAGACAAGAGATTTCAGTAATAGGGTTGGTAGAGTTGCGATTCTAAATAGAGCGAGGGGAGAAGGAGAGAGTCGGGGAGAGGGAGACAGACCACCTCTGCTATTAAGAAAGCCAGTCATCTGCCCAGTTATTAAGGAACTAATGGCCACCCACCCCACCCCCCCACAACTGTGGAGGGACACTGCAGCCCCAAGAACCCAGAGGTCTAGACAGAGGCTCCCAGGAAAGCCAAGTGCTCAGTGGGGCAGTCTGGAAGCCTGTATGGGCCTGGGACTCGCAGGCTCACCCCAAAGGCCCAGTAGCCAAAAAGGACGATGACCAAGTTGAGCACCTCCACCAGGAAAGCCAGGGTGTACACGTCGCGCACAGGGCTGGCCGGGGGCTGGCGGAGGTTGGAGAAGAACCGGCGGATGGAGTGATAGATCCGGAGGGACCTGCAGGAGACAGGGTGATGCTGAAGCCTGCCCTCCTCAGGCAGGCTTGACCTTGACCCCACTCAGGACTGGCTGGAAAGTTCTGGGAGGAAGTTGTGGCTGGGAGATGCAGAGGTGGGGACCACACATGGGTTCATTTTCCCAACACCTGTATTCTCTTCATCTCCAATTCCTCCAATTCCATGAAGGCTGGTTGCTTAAGGTCCAACCTCATCACTAACCCAATCATAGGCTCTCGAGGGTCTCGCCCAGAATCCAGCCAGATGCAGCCTGGAGAAGAGCTTGGGGTGGTGGACCCTCTCCCCGCCAAGTCCTCCCTCTGCGACATGAGGCAAGTGGCTCTGCTGCTGAGTTCCAGGCTCCTCACCAGCCAAGTGGGGATGACAAGCCCCGGCCCGACCATGCCATGGGGTGGCTATAGGGGTAAAATGTTGGCGTTGGTGTGAAACAGTTCTGAGACTGAGAGAGAGTCCAGTGTCCATGTGTGATTACCTGTGATGCACAGGGGTCCTACAGAGCAAAAGGAGGGCAGCCAGGTGACTCTGGGTGAGAGGGTGAGTGGATGGATGAGTGGGTGGATGTGTGGATGGATAGATGAGTAGATGGATGGATGGATGAGTGGGTGGATGGATGGGTAAGCAGGAGGCAGGTGGGTGGGTCAACAGATGGGCAAATGGAGAGATGGTTGAATGAATGGAAAGGAGAAAGGAAGAATGTTTGCATTCAGAGACAATAGATCGATAGAAGGAAGAAAGGTGGAAAGATGGGTAAATTGATGGATAATGGGACAGACAGACAGAGGCAGAGACCAAAGTGTGAACTGAGAAATGCCTGGACAAAAAGCAAGGATGGTCACAGTTTCACTGTAGTCCTACAGACAGACCAGCAAGTGGGAAAGTAGGCTGCAACTTTCCCAGATGCAAGTCTGGGATCTGACTCCCACGTGGTGTTTTTCGTGGTCCGGGAAGATGCAGGCCCCGGTCCTCACCCAGAGGCACCAGGCTCCACAATAACCATGAGGTCTTCATGGCAGATCTGCCTGCAGGGAAGCTTTCATTGTGGGGAGGAGGGGGATGACAGGAGCTCCTAGGACTCAGCTGGCCCCCAGCTCCCAGAAGAGCTCCCCTGATCACCTCCTAACACCCAGCTTCCCGGTTTCCTCCAGTGTCTCCAATAAGCTTCTGTTGAGTTGCTTTTGTCTGAGTGACTGCTTCCTAAGGAGGCTCCATGTCTTCCTGGATCCTGGGTCTTGGGGACCCCCTGGCAAGACACAGAGACACAGGCCTTCCCCTTCAGCTTTTCCTCCAGAAGCTGCTTTGGCTGGGACCCCCTTGCCCCCCACCACCCCAGGGCTGGGAGGGAAGGAACCAGGTGCCACGTGGTTGCCACCAGCCTTTGAGTCCAGGGCATGGGCTCACACTGTTGCCTCCCTGATCCTGGGGGACCTGGTCTGGTCCCCAGGCTGCAGAAAGGAAAGCCTGGTGGGGTGAGGAAGCTGGCAGGGTGGCCTAGGCACTGGGTGAGGAAGAAGTAACCCCAGACCCTTTCCTGGCCCAGATTTGGGGACCCCAGTAGCCTACACTTTCCCAGGCTCTGCAGCTGTGTTGAGACCAATGAGGGTACCTCCTTGGGCTAGACCTTGGAGGGCTTGGGGCCCAGGGCAATTGGGGTGCAGCCTACCTCTGTGTCCCGTGGCCCACCAACGCCTCCAGAAGGCCCAGTTGGGGGCTGGCGGGGACAATGGCAGCTCCTGGGAGGAGAGGTCCAGGTCGGCCCGTCTCCGGAGGTGCCCACCGCCTGGAGACCCTCCACTGGCATTTCTTCTCTGCCTCCTGCTCTTTCTCTCCCCTTTGCAATGAGCCTGGTCACATGGTGGCTGGTCCCACAGCCCCAAGCCCTGGAGGATAAGGTGGGCATGAGGAGTTTGCACCACCACCACTACACACACACACACACACACACACACACACTCTTTCTCTCTCTCACACACCCAAACCAGCTGGAGGCCAGGGAGATGGGAAGGGTGCAGAAGGAGGTTTCTAAGGAAGGTCAGGAAGGTGTCAGGGAGAAGTCTCTGCAGTGTGGGGCCAGATGGGGAGAGAATGGGAAGGGGCAAGGGGCTCCGAGGGTGCAGGGGGTGGGGGCAAGGGGAGAAGGGCCTGAGGGTGCATCCAGGGTGCAGAGTCAGCTCCTGGTGGGGGAGGGTTACTGGGAACAGGAAAATATCAAATCAAATGATTTAAACGTCACGAAAAAGAAAACACCCTCCAACAGGGAACAGAGCAGCAGTACATCTAGAGGCTAAGCTGGGCATTCAAAATTTAATCATCAGTCTCTGCAGCTGAGATGTCCGGGCCAGGGGGGCTCCCCTTCCTGGTCTGGAGAGGGGAATGGGTACCCTGATCTCAGCCAGTCCACCTCTCACGGTCGTGACTAGCAAGTGAGGACTCGTGGGGAGTGGAGCCAAAGGTCACAGCCCCTGGAAGGAGGAGATGGACGCACCTGCAGGGTATTGCGATGGAAAAACAGGGCCAGCAGCTGCACGAGGTCGCCCAACACAGAGCCGTCTCGCTTCTCAACCCCGAGGATGTTGGGCAGAGAAAACGGCTTTTCCCTGTTGATGCCAGCGTAGCGCTTTGTGGTCCACGGGAAGAGTCCAAACTGCGAAAAGTATTTGACCACAACAGTAGCCTAAAGAAGGGAAGAAGAGAGAGGTCATTGCGATTGACCTGAAAACACACACAGACACACACACCATTCACACAAACAACCATAAAACCAGTGAATACCCAGGAAAGCTACCACGCTTCACAAATGTAAGGAACTGACTGGTCATCAGCAGAGGCTTGAGATTAAAAGGAAATAAAAAAGCAGAAACTGCCACGAAAACATAAGGTGGCCCCATGTGCCCCTGCTGAAGCCTGGTCAGCCTTTTTTTAATTTATTTGTGTTATTACTCCCTTTCTAATTTCTCCTGACACTTGTTGACTGTTAAACCATTCTGATGCATGGTAGGCAGAGTAAGGGGCTTCCTGGTGGCTCAGAAGTAAAGAATTTGCCTGCAGTGCAGGAGATGTGGGGTCGAATCCTGAGTCGGGAAGATCCGCTGGAGAATCGCATGATAACCCCCTCCAGTATTCTTGCCTGGAGAATCCCGTGGACAGAGGAGCCTGGTGGGCTACAGTCCATGGGGTTGCAAAGAGTCAAACATGACTAAGTGACTTAGCACGGAGGCAGGCAGGCAGATTAAGATGGCTCTCCCAGCCTGCCTCTTCTCACAGGCCAGTAGCAGAGGATTTTAAGAGATTGTCTTTTTATGCTGCAAGTGCTCAAAAGTCACTTTGCATGCAGAATCTCTCCAATGCTTCTGTTTCACAAACTTCTAAAAGTCAGTCTTTTCGGCCAGGGAAACAGTCTTGGGCCTCCAAGGGCCTCCTCAAGGGTTGAGTGGTGATGTTTCTGTTTGGAAATGGGAGGAAGTGGAGAGGCACCTTCTGTCCCCAGGGGATGGGCAGGGAGTGGCCGCTGTTCTTCCGTCCCAGGATTGCTGGCAGCCAGTGGCAGAACCATGGGTGAAGGACCCCCACCTCCACATTCAGTGTAGAAAAGGGGGTCCAATATGCTGCCTGGGACCCAATGCCCTCTTGGTTTCCTCATCTGTAAAATTAAAGAGCCAGTCTAGAGCATCACATCCATACGATGTGAGAGTTGGGCTATAAAGAAGGCTGAGTGCCAAAGAATTGATGCTTTTAAACTGTGGTGTTGGAGAAGACTCTTGAGAGTCCCTGGGACTGCAAGGAGATCCAACCAGTCCATCCTAAAGGAGATCAGTCCTGGGTGTTCATTGGAAGGACTGATGTTGAAGCTGAAACTCCAATACTTTGGCCACTGATGCAAAGAGCTGACTCATTGGAAAAGACCCTGATGCTAGGAAAGATTGGGGGCAGGAGGAGAAGGGGATGACAGAGGATGAGATGGCTGGATGGCGTCATCGACTCGATGGACTTAGGTTTGGGTGGACTCCGGGAGTTGGTGATGGACAGGGAGGCCTGGCATGCTGTGGTTCATGTGGTTGCAAAGAGTCAGACACGACTGAGTGACTGAGCTGAACTGAACTCAGAGCATCTTTTAGGCACTTTCTAGTTTGGCCCTTGGTAGTTCCTTAAGTAGGAACACATTTTTTTGTCAGTCCATCTGAAGAGGGAGGCAGAATCAGTCCTGTGGGTAAGGGCGCCCATGTAGCATCCACAGCCAATTCTAGGCTGATGAAACCCCTGGACAGTTCATTGTAGGGTCAGGATCAGACGCTGGTGTCCATTGACTATCTTTCTGTCAAGTACCCTGTGTTGAAATGCCATCAGAGGCTCTGCCCTGCAGGTAAGACCTGGCACTTCAAAGACCCACGGCAGGAATGAGTGGGTTGCATCCTGAGCACCACGTCAGATTCCTAGGAGGTAAAGGTAAATCTGGGGCAGTAATGGGGCATCACGGGGGAGATTGCCCTACCCGGGTGGATTAGGAAAAGGGCGCATGCACACTAAAGAATGTGGTCCTTTCCTGCTAGAAAGCAGACGCCCAGGAGCATGAAGGCAGGAGGGGGGACGGTCAGTGACCTCAGGCCTGTCACCCGCTGCCTCTCTCTACAATCAGAGATGCGGCCTGGCTTGCCTTCCAAACACCCAACTGAGAGGCCCCAGTGGAACATGTAGATTATCCAGAGTAAGCCCTTCAAGTGCAAGATGGTATTAACTGACAGTCAGAATTGTCAGAAGACTTTTAGGGAGATTAAATTTTATTGGACTCAGTTACAAGCAGTAAATCCAAAGAGATCAGCTTCATTTGTAATTAGAAGGATCTTCTTATATACACAAAATGTACCATGGACTTTTAAAAGGATCCCCTTTTAATCCTTCCAGGGGATTAAAATATTCTTTATAAGAGTGTTTATTGGTTTTGTTTTTTTTTAAAAAACCAAAAGCTTTCTGTCTAGCTCAGAAATGTTAGGATGGCAGAGCTTAAGGGTCCCTAGCAGACAGAACCCAGGCTGGTGGCCGTCTCCCCTGGGGGTATTTTCAGTGACTCTGTAGGGGGAACCCAGAGCCAGGAGGCTCTCCTCCCTCCCTGTCTGGGACTCTGGGAGGCAAGAGAGCCATCATTCACACCCCTCCTAGGCTGATAAAAATGATGTGATGGGAGAAACAACCTAATGACAGGTACTTAACTTTTGCACTAATTAATTTCACAGACAGGCGGTGTTCAAGTTTACAAATATTGCATCTGAGTCAAAAAGTGCAGCAGAGAGCAAGGCTGGTGGTAAATTATATCCAAGATGCCAAAAAATTAAAATAATATAAACATGCATTGCCGAAGCCTGATGGGATAAATCCACACGTGCTTATTGTGTACCTATTACATGGACGGTGCATGGGAACACTATTCATAGCTGCATCTGACTCTCAAAAGCTATGGTGCTCTTTGGGGGGTGGTGTGAGTGCCGGAGCAGAACATTAGGGGTTCCATTTGTTCTCTGGGTTCCCCCAGCCCCCTCACTCACTTGACACCAGCACTCGATGTGTTGCCCCCAAGGCTGCATCAGAAGTGTGTGAGATGGGGACTTCCCTGGTTATCCAATGGCTAAGACTCTGTGCTCCCAATGCAGGCATCCTGGGTTTGATCCCTGGTCAGGGAACTAGATCCCACATGTGCAACTAAAACTCAGAGCAGCCAAATAAATACACTCAAATTTTTAAAAAAGACACATGCGGTGGTGACAATGGCAGCAGGTGGGGTGTCCATCCATTGCCAGGGGGTCCCCTTGGCACCTACCTCTGTGTAATAGATTGCTGCCATCCAGAATCGTTTGGAGGGCCTGGGGACAGAAAGCATGGCCCACAGGAAAGACAGGATGGGCAGAACCATGGAGAGGATGGAGGCCGAGAGCGTGTGGTTGAGAATGATCACAAGATAGCACAGAGTCTCAGACTTGGCCATGGCAGCCTGGTGCAAGGCGAAAGTTAGCTTCACCAGGCGAGGCAGGCTCCGGCAAAACCTGTCCGACTGCTCTAGCTGTCCTCCTCCGGGGGCAGCCTAGAGGGAGGGAGATACCTTGCTGTAACTCCAGGAAAGGTAGGCCCACGGCCCTGGATGGGCAGGCATGTCTGGGTCTTGAGAAAATCCAGTAGGTAAAAAATAACTGCATTTCCCCAAACTCTACACTGGGAGCAATTTTCCACTTTCCCAGAGTGCTCAGCCACGAAGTTTTCTATTAAACATGCACTCCCCAGATGCATTAAAAAAAATATGTGATTTGGGGGGAAAAAAAAACAAAAAACCTCGATTGCTCACAATTTCTCTATTGAGTAGTCTTTTCAAGCAAGTAATCAAGTTCAAAGAACCACTTGCTTTGCTTCCTAGCCTGTGGAGGGCAACACCTTCTGACCCAAGAACAGCAATTTGGGCAGCCACATTGAGCAAGAAAAATGTGCTTGTTTCTGACTCAATTTACAGATAATTCTTGCCTTTTAAGTTACAGATCATTAGCTGGAAACATCCTAAAAGGAACTTTCTGCTGGAGCTGCTGGTCTGTTTGAGTCTCTGAATGACTGGGATAGAACAGGATGGTTGGTGGTGATGGCAGGCGGGAGGGGGGGTGTGGCAGGTCTTGGACTTGCCAGCGCACTGCCTTTGAGGGACATCCTGCCAGTGGTGAGGTCCTGCTCAACCCTTCCTCCCTCCTGGCTGACCCCTAGCTACTGTGCCTTACCATCTCTGTGACCTCTGTAGACCCTAAAGACATCATTTTAAAAAAACTTTTGATGACTAATTGATTGGGCTTTTGCTTCAAAGGACATTCTAAAATTTTTTAAAAGCCTCATGAATTTGGATTCCAGACTCCTTTCATCTGGAATTTGCAATCACTAGGGATGGTCTGAGATTTATTCCTGCATACTCTATGAAGGCTGCATTGCTTGGTTGAACAAGCAGGCCCTGGAAGGCCACTGTTGTAGACCTTGAGTTGGGCCACAGGAGCACAGAGATGGACAAGGCAGACCCCTGTCCTCATGGGGCTCATGTCGCTGGGGACATGGGTCTGGGGCCGTTGGTCTGGGTAAGAGCCACTTCTGAGGAGTTGAGGAAGTCCAGAGAAGGACAGGGAGCCAGGAGGCTTCCCAGAGGAGTGGCTGGGCTGGCTCTTGAAGGACAAGAGGCAAACCCTCCAGGCAGAGAGGCAGGGAGAATGGACAATCCAGGTAAGGGTTAGATCCTTTGCGATTCAGAAAACAGAGCCCGGGGACTAGAGCCATCAGATCACCAGGGGCCTTGCAAACCAGGCTGAGAGTCTGGATTTCATTCTGCAGGAGACAGGAAAGCCCTGGAAGGGTGAAGAAGGAGGTGACAAGGGCAGGCTGGGGGGAGTTGAGGTTGGTGTGAAGGATGCATCAGATGGAGGAGCTGGTGGTGGGCAGGATGGGTTGGTAGGGCAGGCTAGAAGCAATGATGGTCAGAGCAGGACAGTGGACACAGTAGGGGCTGTAGGTGGAATCCAGAGAGAGATTTTCAAAACAGAGCCCTGGGCGCTGCATCCCCTACTGGACATGGTAAATAAGAAGAAGAACAACGCTGGCATGTCCTCCTGGGACACTTCACTAGAGGCTGGATGGTTGTAAAGGTTTTGCCAGAGATTTCAAGTAGGGCTTTTGCCAACAAAGACTTTGCTGGGAGCCAGGGGGGAGGGGCACCAGTCCGTGGAGAAAGGAAGTAATGGACTTGAGTTCATTACATTACAAGGTCAGAGATGGCTCCTAAGCAGGTGGGACCCCAGGACTGGAGCTCAGCACACATGCTGAGGAAGGGACAGGAAGGGGACAGTGGGGCAGAGGCCCACAGAGCGGAGGCTGCAGGAGTCAGAGGGTCCTGTACAAACACAGGGGACGGAGAGGAAGGACAAGGCTCATCTGCCCCTCCGCCCTTTCAAGATGTCTGGTGGTGAAGAGACGAGGGGCAGGGGTGTAATTTCTGCAGCCCCCAGAGGACCGCAGTCTGCTGGGTTGCTAAAGGGAGTGGAGGGGAAAGGACTGGGAACAGAACCCATGGAGAAAGTGGAACAGATGGGCGAGAGCCTAGGATGGGGGAAAAGCCCCAACTCCTGGGACAGCGGTGAGGGTACGTGGAGAAAGATGGGGGAAGGGAAGATGAGGTGTTCCTTCTGGGATGGTGGGCCAGTCAGGGCTGCGTCCGCAGCACCTGGACGTCCAGGTGAGATGGCAGAACACGGCCACATGTGATCTTGAGCCATGGGCTCTGTCCAGCCTCAGTTCCCCCTTGTGTCAAATGGGGAGAATACTCTTACCTTCCTCCCTGGGCTCTTGGTAGCTAAGGGGGTTAACTGATGCAAAATGACTCAGGACCAGCCCAGCAAAGGGGTCAGCGCGGGGAATGGCCATTGTCCCCGCCCACGCGGCCATCACCACGGCTCTGTCCTCGTCTGTCCCCCGGTGTCTGGGACTCAGCTGAGATGGTCAGGGGATGAGCTTCCTCAGGTTCCTCGATGAGCATCCCCCCGACGCTGCCCCCTCCACCCAGGCCTCCCAGGTGACATTTTTAAAGGGACCCATTCACAAGATCACAGCTCCTACATGGCCCACCGATCATGCCCAGAATAAGGCGGCCTGTCCACATCCACTGGGCCCTTCTGAAAGCCACACTTCGCATTTGAGGAAAATTACTTCTCTACCTGCCATGGGCCTCTGTAGTTTGGACACAGAGCATAATTTTGTGGCATTAGCGAAAATGATCCCTTTACAGCCCTCCAAACACAAGGTCTTGACTTTTGGGGAGACCAAGGTTTCACTGGGGGCCCCTGGCACCTGGGGTTGTCCTGAGGCAGGGCGGCTCCTTGGGGCTGAGGGCAACCTGCTCCCTGCCTCAGGGGGTCTTCCAGTGCCTCCTGGTGGGGGGGGCCTTGCCTGGACCTGCAGGTGTTTCTGGGAGGATCCTCTTGGGCCGGGCCCTGTTCCATTTCTCCAGGCGATCGGGTGTCTTCCGGGCAAGACCCAGGTAAACCTTTGCCTTCTGGATGCCCCTCCAGCCTCTCTTCCCTCCTGGCTGGGGCTGCGCACGGGGCCTCTCGCAAGCGGGCATGACAGCCTCTGAGAATGTCCTCTGTGGTGGCTTTCTTCCCCTACAGAGAAATGTCAGAGTTTCATCATACAGAGGAAAAAAAGAGGGACTTCCCTGGCAGTTCGCTGGTTAAGACTCCACGCTTGTAATACAGGGGGCAAGACTTACATCAGGAAAACTAAGATTCTACATGATGGGAGAAGCAGCCAAAAAGAAAAGGAAAAAAGAGAGGGAAGCAGATGTGGATAAGGAGGGGGAAGTCCGGGAGGGAGCTAGCGGGTGTACTTTGCATGACAGGAAATGGATGGAACACAGGTCCTCACAGTCTGCATCTCAGGACTGGAGCTGGGACCACCAAGGGGCCCTAAAGCCCCTCCGGGAGTTCTGAACACAGGTGGCAGAGCACCGCGTCCCTCCCCCCACCAGCCACCGCAGTGGTCCACACCAGGAGGGAGGGTGGGTGGCAGGAGCTAAGGCGAGGCATAAACCATGAGTCAGCGATGGAGAGGCTTGTCCGCAAGGAATAATTAAAGGCAACTGATATGGCGAGAGGTGCCAAGCTTGCCTGAGTGACAGCTCGCCACCAGCCATGGCGCAACCCCCGCAGGGCCCTGGACACCCGGGCACTGTCCCCGCCCAGTGCACGCAGGGCTTCGGTGACATCGTCCAACAACACCTGTCCCAGGACCCTGCACAACTGGGCCACAGTGACGAGCCTCCGGGCCAGGCTTCCTGTGGGGCGAGAGCAGGAATCACACACACACTGCCCGTGAAACCCCACGGAGACCATCGCTCTTTCTTTTTGCCAACTTGCCTTGGAGCAACAAGACAATAAACTCCATCCAGTCCATCAACTAAACCTTGAGGGGGCTGCCCCGTGGGAAGAATTTCCCTAGATGTCATGGATTCTCGTCCAAAGTGGGGGCCCCGGGTTAAGCAGACGGGCACCGGGGCGGGCCTGAGAGTGACTGTCTCTGAGCGCACTTGGAGGACAGGACCACACTGTTATCGTTTGCATTCTGAATATTCAGTCAGTAAGTCATGTCCGACTCTTTGCGAGTCATGGACTGCAGCACACCAGACTTCCCTGTCCTTCAATATCTCTGAGTTTGCTCAGACTTTTATGTCCATTGATTCAGTGATGCCATCCAGCCATCTCATCCTCTGTTGTCCCCATCTCCTCCTGCCCTCAATCTTTCCCAGCATCAGGGTCTTTACCCAGCATTCTGAATAGCTAGCACGAGTTAGGCACTTACTGTGTACCAGGAACTGATGTGATCTTATGGTTCAGCCCTTCAATCTTACAGCATCCCTCTTGCTCATGGTCTCTTACTGTCTTCCTTTCACAGAGAAACCGAGGACCAGAGAAGTGAAGGGGAGGTGGGTGGAAGGGAATCTGAGTGCAGGGGGTGGGAGTGGGTCTGATTGCAGGCCACCCAGACTTGCGCTGAAGGAATGGCCGTTAGAGACAAGGGATAGGGAGGAATGGAAAGGATGTCCTGCCCATGGGATGAGCTGGAAGACAAGAACATCTCTTGACGGGAGGTGGAGGAGCTGGCTTTGTGCTGAGGTGGTCCCAGTCCCGATCCAGCTGAGGGCCCTTGAGCAAGGCATTTAAGCACTCCATCACCCTCTTTAACTGGCCTTTCATCTCTGAGTGAGGCTGTCTGATGTCAACCCTGATCCATGACATGGTTTCCCCTCCTATAGTTTTTTTTTTCTTTCTGTTTTGAATATGGTAGGACAACCAAACCTACCAGGTTCATCTGAACTTTCTGCTCTGGCTTCAGCTTCAGTCTCACGAGTTGCCAGTCTCTCACCTCCTGAGTCACAAAAAAAAAAAAAAAAAAATAGACTGGAAAGTCCCGTCTGTTTTTGATTGATGTTTTTTTGTAAATGTTTGTTATATCCCCATGGGGGTGTCTGTGTGTCTAAGGTGGACATGATGACGGGAGTGTGGAAATAATAGTCCTCCTGAAACACGCATCACATCGTGGGCCCTTTACTGGGGTCACTGGGACTCTACAGGCCCTGATGTCAAATCAGCTGGTCTTCATTTGCAGACGCTCAGCAAAGCAGGTCCACCTAGAGAGGAAGGCCTTTCAAATTTGTATTGGCTGCTGACCACTACTTGTTAGGGTCCAGGGCTTACCGCCAGTGAATGCCTCACTTAGGAAAGATTGGACACCCGACAGACCACATATTTTTCTCTCCCTGGGTCTGGTTGATGCGTTCCAAATCTCAAGCCATTATGGAAAACACACTTGGAAAAATGCAGATTCTCCACCCCCACCCCCCACCCCCCATATCTCAGAATAACCAGTTGGCCCGTCAGCAAATATACCATTGTCCAAGCGGTGTGGACACCTCCATAAGGCACTCGCTCCATCATCAGCATGTATAAAAGTTCCCCTAGGCTCCTATATGCACCCATGACCTCATCTTCCCTCCACACTCCACTTGCTGTCAATGGACCCAGTCACCAGCCAGAACTGTTTGACGCCAGTGTTTCCTAGTCGACCATCTGTTGATCCAAGTTACCACACAAACCCTGCTTTGCTGTCGACAGTAGTACCTCCACTGTGGCGCCACCGGAGCCCCTCTTCATCACACTCGGGGTTTCCCATCCCCCATTCATCCTCCATCCTCATCCGGAGAGCACATGCGGCACCGTCGGTCCAGGCTTTATAGGCGAGCTGCAGGGAGACAGTCGTAAACCTGGCTGTGTGCTCTGGCAGTTCCAGGCCCAGACCCTCCTTTTCTTCTTTAAAGGTCACAAAATCTAATTAGAACCATCGCTAACTGTATATTCTCGTTGTCGGTAAGCCTTAAATAATAAAAATCAGACCAAATGAGACTAATCAAGGGAGATGGAAAATCAATGTCATATTTGTTCCAAGTAATTTCCTCTTAGAAGAGGAAAGGCTCTTAGGAGCAGTTTGTGAATTTAAAAGATGTTTAAAGTTGCATCTAGACATCAGAACATCAAAGTCAAACCCAAACGGAATTTTGCTGGATGATCTCCTTCCTTGTTCCCGGAAAAGTCAGTGCTGCTTGGTATAAAGGCTAAAGTGGGTGACAGCCTTTCTTGTGTCTGCTTTAAGTAGTTCTGGTTTTACAAAAAAATTGAAAAATGGATTCCTTAAGACAGGAGCAAAGAGTAAGTAATATATGGAATTCTTTGCTCTTCCTTCAATGTTTTTCCAAGTAACTTTCAACTAAAATGCACGCTTAAGGAAAAACTCTAAACAATAGGCTGCAACAAAGACACACATGTGTAGGCATGGTAAAGAAAATTAAGACATGTTTTCAAATAACTTATTCCTTTTCCTGAAATACCCCCAAAATATTGGTTGACATCTCCAAATGAGTACCCCTGTTCTCCACTCGGTTTTGCATGTGCCCATAACAGGAGTAATTTATACCAAGAGGACTAGTTGAGCAATTTGATACAGAAGGACTAGTTGACTGGCTTCCCCATGAGCCCACCGCTTTTCCCCAGTAGTCAGCAGGGAGCCCCTACAGGGAAGTAGAGACCCTCAGAGTCCCTGCCTCACCACATGTAAACAAGCACCCAGCATCCAGAGCCATGGGCCTCTGAGGTACCTGTTGTTCTTTTTATAATGGGACATCTCCCAGAGGGATCCAAATGAACTTGGGCTCAAGCTAAGCTCAGGTCATTGTTCTGCATAGTCTGCTCCACCACATGCAGGTCCAGCCATGCCATGGGCACCCGTGGAGGCTTCTAAAGCAGGAGCATCCTCAGTGAGGACCACTCAGCCCACAGAATGTGTCTACTTCACCAGCGTTAGCTCGAGTTCAAGGCAAAGAAAACTTACCTGGAAAGCTGTTCTGGGCTTTGGCTGACGATCTGTTATTTCTGCCTCGCTTACTTCTTTCAGCTCCTCTTCCTCACTGTCAGTCTCAAAGAAGGTATAGCTGCCGTCCTGGAGCACTGCAAAGCATGTCCACAAAAAGACTCTGGAAGACACGGCCTCCTGCTCCATTGCCTGCAGACCTTACTATAAGCCCAGCCCAGCCTGAGACATGCTGGGCATCTCAATGACCTGATGGGCACCAGGTTATTTTACGTGTGGGGTTTCCTCCCTTCTGGCACATTCTACCACAAAAGGGAAAGCTGTCAAAACAGGTATATCTCATTCCCTAACTGGATTTAAATTATGTATTAGTATTGACATTTCACATTAGACGCCTGTGGATTTCTGTCTCCCCTCACCATCCATCTCCCTTGTTAGCCACGGAATCTGCAGTCTCCCATCTTCCTCAGCTGCACACACTCCACGAGTCTTGTCCCAGATCATCCATGGCCAGCTCACCTGTCACGCTGGTAGATGGAGGGGACCCTGCTCCTCCACTGTCCCCAAAGACACAAACACACAACCTCTCGTGTCCTTATGGGGCAGACGGCGTGAGCCATCTGCCTGCCTCCTCACCACAACCTTGTTGCCTCAAATGACAGGCTTGTCCTAGGGAATGGACCTGTTTTAGGGAAGCCTGGAACCTAGTGGGCCCCCCCACCCACCCGCACCCCCACTTCTCAGCGTCCTGAAGGGCCATGCTCCAGGCAGCTGTTAACAGTCCCAGCTTACTGGAAGGATGCTTCGTCCAAGGCTGCCACCATTTTTTCTCCTCTTCATTTTCTGTCGTACTAAGATCATCTAAATAAAGATGAAAGAAACCCAAATCCATCAGCCGTTCCCACCCTGGAACACATTGTGGTCATTCCAAAAAGGTTCCGGGCTGAAATGTCTACTGAAGAGATCAACACCACCTTACTGAGTGTTTACTGACTGCCCTCCCCCATCCTTACAAAATGATTCCTTTGAACAAATCATTTGGTGCAAATAAAATCTGAGAAGGAAACGTATAAGAGACTGGAGGTAATACGTGTTTTCAAGATTGCCTAGCACATAAGCTGACAACCTCGTCTTTCCTCTGCTTCAAGGAGATTCCCAGGGAGGTCTGTGCTGGGAGGTCCTTGAGGAGACCAGTTCTAATGGTTTCAGGAACTCGAAAGCACTAAAATGGAATCTCTTTTCTTAAAAGCACTGTAATTCAGTTTTGTCGCTAATTCAGACAGTGTGTCCCCCAATTAGGAAGGTTGACCCATAGATGACACCCTGCATATGAATTGCCAGATAAAACCCAATCATCTCAGAGGTTGGTAGCCAGGTGATGACACTGTTCCCTTCAACTTGTTCAGCTGAAAGGAAGAGCAAATCCAGTCCAATTGAGAAAGAACAACTTTTTGAAGGATATTTTATTTATTTCCTGACCAGTAAAAAATGAAATGACTTTTGCCTTTAGCCACTGGCCCTTTGAGGAACTCGTTTTCTGAAGGGAAAAAAAAAAATCTCAAAACTGAAAAGAAGAAAATACTGTTTAAGTAAGTAATCCATGGATTTCCAGGGAGTCAGGGCCTGTCAGATGTGTTTTCACTTTGCAAACAGGGAGGGATCCTTTCTGGGACTTCAGTCGGAGTTCAGAATTTCACCTCAGAGCACCGTTCTGATTCTAAACTCTTCAGATGCATCAGACAAAAAGGCAACTCTAACTCCTCAGGTCCGAAGGGAAAGACCCGTTTTCTTGCTGGCTTGGAGCGGGGAGAGGGCGGGAGAGTTGGTGGCGCTATGGCAGAAGGCTCAGTGTAACATCCCTGTTTAAAGCTGGGCTGGGGGGAGGCAGGTCATGTCCCGAGCTCACCTGGAGCGCTAGGCCCTGTGGCAGCGACCTCCCGGGGCAAACAGCTCACACTAACCACCGGGGAAGCAGGCCTCCTGCTGCCCCGCTGCAAAGCAGCAACTTTCCTTTGCTTTGCTTTGATCTTCTCAATCCTGGCAATTGAAGATACACAGAGAAGGCCGTTTTCTTCTGCGGTCAAAACATTTTTGCCATTTTGCTTGGCTTTGCCCCTAAGCCTGAGACAGAGGAAGAGCTGCCTAGATGTCCCCTCCCATCTTTCCCGACTTAAGAGGCGACACCCCCGCCCCACCCAACAGCCAGCATCTTGGGCACCCAGATGGATGGGATCCTGCTCCAAGTACTTCCTGGGATCCACAGTGGGATGCCCGGGGGCTGACTGCTCTCCACTCCAGAAAACAGGGCAGCATCTCAAGCGGGGTTTGCTAGCCCCAGACAACAGCTAGGCAGCTGAGGGACTGGGGCTGGGGGTCTTGGTGGACTCAGATAGCTTGAGAATTCAGACTTAAGCAGGCAACAAAACAGAAAGAACTCTGCCAACTTCATCATGCGCATGTCATGACTTCTCCAATATTATATAATTTTTAAAGTTGATTACAGTGAAGTCACTTTTACGACTTGACATTACCCTAAGCAATCCTTAAAGTCACTCAACGAGTGGTCTAGATGTTCCCCTCACCTCTTCCAAAGTGCATCAAAATAAATGATGTAGCCTTTAAGTGAAAAATACATACATGAATGACCACCAAAATCTTCCTGGGTACCAGCTGGGGTGCGTGCATTATAGAGCACTGGAAGACGGATGGCTTAGGCAGAGTAGCAGGTGGCCCCTCTTAGCCAGGGACAGCTTGAATCAAGGCTCAGAGCAAAGAAAGCAAATGACCTTTTTGGGGAACAATGACTTTAGCCAAAGCAGAAAGTCCGAGCCATCAAGAGCTCAAAGCGTCTCTTCCTCATCTAAGAATTACATTAAGTGATGGATCTTTCCAGGAGAAACTCATGTTCTCATCACACTCAAGAGCCCTGCCTTTGTTTTCAGGTTGGAAGAATCAGCCTGCAATTTCTGCCACCTCCATCCACTGATTGACCCACATTCACGGCTCGTTAGTGCCCCATAAGCTGAACAATGGCGCATCTCAGGTCTTAGGCTTTTTTTCTTGGAGAAATTCAAAAATAAGAGAAAGAAAGAAAGAGAAAGAAGTCTGTAACAAAGAAAGAAATAAGCGATAAGATGGCATCTCCTTTGGAAGGGCCATGCTTCCAGGATGAATAAAGAAAAGCCAACGTAACTGCCTCGTGATGACCCATAGGCATTTTTTCTCATCTTCCTCACTGTGCTCCAACGCCTCCCTCAAGGACAGTGCCAAGAGCTCAGCACCCCTGTGTGGACAAAGAAATACATTTAAGAAATCATCTTGTATGTATTTTAAGTATCTTATGTATCTTCCAAGATACATAAGATAAAGGAGATATATATATATATATATATATATAAAAGATAGATATAATCTTATTTGTGTCTTATAGAGAATCTTTGTAGATTCTGTTGGTAAAATGTCATTATCAATGTCAGGTTTTGCACTAAAATTCAAGGTGAAATGTGTCAACCATATGTCAATTCATAGAACAAGATGTGTCCAGCCAGCTGCACAAAAGGGTTTTTTTTTTCTCCTTTCTCCCCAAAGAACATAAACCTCCAGAGCATCAAGACCAAATTCAGCTCAACAGATTGAGGACAGAACACCCAACAAACCATGGAGGTTTTGTATGGGAGTGGATGCTTGCAACTTGCCTGAGGATGGGCCATGCTCAAACGGGATCTCAGGATGAGAGGCTAAATGGAGTTTGAGAGGACAGCGTGTTCAAGGTACATCTGAATTCGGGCCTATACCCTGGAAACAGTGGGGGACCCCTTGGAATTGAGTCTGTCCCTTCCCTGGGAGTGGCACAGGTACGGCTCCCATCGTTGCAGGCGAGCACCCTAGGGCTGGTGGACAATCAGCTTGTATCAGATGAGGAACCAACACTAGAAGGGGCTGTCAGGCAAGCTGGCCAAACAGACATGTAAACCAGGGCAGGAGCCTGAGACTGGGGTGGCAGGCTGCCCAGAGAAGTTCTGGAAGCCCTGGACCTCTGCAGGGCAGGGCTGGTTCTTCACAGAAGTCCACCAACCTCCTCCTTCAACCCTGAGCTGAACTTGGTCCCTTACGGACTTGGGGTTACTGTTGGCAAAGAGAGCTGGTCCTTTGCCCTTGTCCCACCTCTGTGTTTACAAGTCAGTATAGTACCTCCTAAGATCTCATGGCCCTACGTAATTTGACCAGGATTGAATCCCAGACTTGGGAGGAAGGAGCGTGTATTGGAGGGGCTGCATCACCAGGCAGGTGACCCACTCAGTGTCAGCTCTTCCTCTGCTGAAGGGAGGGGTGAGATGAGATGGCCTGAGGTTTCTGAGTTCTAAAGGGTGGCAATCCTTCCCTGACAGCTGAGGTCTTCCTCCTGGCTTTCCTGGTACCTGGATGCTAAGGCTTGAGCAGCTTCCAGATCAGCTACCACGTAAAGGTGGTAATAACTCAGGAAGATCCGTCGCTGGATGAGCAGGAAGGTGAGACACACGGCGTCCCACAGGATCCCCGCCTCCTTTTCTGGGGGTTCACAGGCTTCGTCCTCGGGGATGGCTGCATGGAAGACAGGAGAAACCAGGAGTCTTATGGCCAGGGGAGGAGCCCGGGCTCCTGTGGGCAAAGCCTCTCTGCTTCCCGGCGACTTCTTCTGTCCTTCCCTCCCCATCCTGCCCCCACTGGTGATTTTCCCAGGGAGCCAGGAGGTGAGGCCCCCCATCTGCACCAGCCCCACCCCGGAGCCTCAGGCCCTCCCTTTCCTATTCCTTGAGGGGACCCAGGCAGAGCCCAAGGTGAGCAGCGGAGCTGACAGTGAGGGGGACTGGTAATCCACAGGACTTGAGAACCACCCCCCGCCATCTCAGCCTCGCTGGGACCTCCAGAAACCTACTCCCCATGGCCATGGCACTAAGACCGGAAGCTCCAGGCTTGTTCGTGAAAGATGAGAAATGTGATCTCACATGTTTTTTTTTTTTTGGGCAAACTGAGACAGAGGGAGAGCCGAGGCCAGGATGTCATCAGAGGCAACAGTTAAAACAAACACATTTCTCCTTCCCCTCCATTCATAAAAGGAGACCGGTGACAGCTCCAGTCGGGCAGAACCCAGGTCTCCTCCCTCTCCAAACAGGCCCGAAGCCCAGGAGTCAGCAGCGTGGCTGGGGTTTCGCAAACCCCACGGAAGTGCCGTTGGCACAGACCTGGAATCGCCCCCAAAGCCCAGGGCCGTGGACCGGAGGGCACCGTGCCCTTGACTCAGCTTCAGGGTGCAAGGCAGAACCACCCTGCTCTCTCTCTCTGCTTTTCATCTGGTGCCTGGCTTTTCTCTGAGAGAATGGAGGTCTCCTAATTTCTACTGGGGTCTCCTCCATCTCCCATCAGAGAGTGGTCTGGCAGAGCAGTCAATCACAGCCCTGAACCTGGACTGGATCCAGAGTCCAGATAACACAATAATAATAACAAATAGCTGTCAGGACCCAGTAAGGAGTGACTGGGGGCATTGGCACGTAGGCTGGGCATTAGATGACTGGGGGACAGGAGCTGGTTTTCTCAGGATGAGCTGATGAGAACCTGGTTCTGCAGGAGAATGTCTTGGTGTACGCTCCATTCCTTCTGGCGATTTCACAAAAGAAATGTACATACACCCACACACAGGTGGGCCAAAGATGGCAGAAGGCACTGTTAGATCTCAGCCAGGGGTGGGTGGCCATTGTGCAATTCTCTCCATTCTTCTGTGCCTTCCATCTTCCTATTCTGATGACACACGTGGGCTCTGCATGGGCTGTGCTGGACTGAGGGTGGGAGGGGGTTGGCGGCACTTACCTAACTGGTAACCTGGGACCGTGCAGGATAGGCCAAAAATGTGGACCAGCCAGCAGTGTGATTTGAGTAAGGCCTCCAGGTACACGCACGCGCCGACCTGTGAGAGAGGAGGAAAGACATGCTGCCTGCTCCATTCCCAGCGTAGATTTGCTGTTCAGTGTCATCTACCATTTGTCTCCCTAGTTGTAACATCCAATGCGCTGGTCCCCGAGAAGAGCAGCCTTTGGCCATCCAGCCTGGGAGGTCTAATCATGCTTCTTCCCAAGAACACAAGGAGGGCTTAACCCAGAGGCCATGGGAGCTTCTTCCATGTCAATAGGACCCCAGCAACAGCAGTCCAGCGGCCATGAGCAACGGCGTGGCCCCGAGCGGGTCACTGCCCTTCCCTCCCCTGATGCCCTGTGCTCTTATCTGCAAAGTCACCATGTCATCTCTGGAGACCCCTCCCCACTCTCACAACCTGTGATTTTATAAGGAAGACCTACGAGCCATTAGGAGGATGAAGTCCTGAGATGTATGACAGGAAAGGACACGGTGGTATCCCCACCGTGGACATGGAGATGCAATAAGATAAACTGGGGTGACGATTGTCACCATTCCAGTAAAAGCTGGTTTGTTTGATAGGCAATCACTTGGAACTTTTCAAGCCAATGAGGACCAATATTCTTAAGGATGACCTGAGGCTTGTAGACCTCCAAGGAATGACTCCATCCTGCTGAGCAAAGTCCTAATGTGTCCCTGGCTTGCGAGTTGTGCCCGAGGCACAGCCAGTCAGACAACCAACCAGCACTGGGGTCTGCAGACGGGGCTCCCAGGGTCTGCTAGACCTGGGGGTGGTACTGGGCTCGCCTCTTCTGGTACTTCTCTGTCTGCATCTCTTGTGTGGAAGCCTTAAGTTCTACCAACCCAAGATGGAGGCAGGGAGGGAGGCCCCTTCCAGCTTCAGACCTATGACTTTCCTAGCCCTCAAACTGCTGCATTAATCTTCGCAGTTCTGTGTTATTGCACTTCTCCCTTTGAAATGTGAGCACGGTCCCGCGCAATGAACACGGGTTCTCTGGAGCATCGTCTAAGGTGATTAGCTAGACCATAAAGCATGTTTTCTGCTGCGCGTCCTCCCCTTCCCTTCTTGATTTCCTTGGGTTCAGAGCTCTTCAACATCAAAAGCTACTCCCCAAAGCACGGGCAGCATCATGCGTGACACACGGCGGATCGTTTTACCTCTTTCCACCTTTGGTAAACATATCTTTGAAAAAGGCCTTTTAAGATGACTGTTGGTTTTGGCAGTACCTTTTTTAGGGTATTAAGACAGTCAGGCTAGGAAAACAAAGAGCAGCCTTGAGAGAGGGACTATCCCATACCGACAGGAAAGTCTTCACAGCAACCACCAGCGCCGAGTAGGCGACCAGGCGGTCCCACGGCTGGAGGATGGTCTTTGCCGGCTGCAGGAGGAGATGGCTCCCTTGCAGCATGAAATATCCAAAGGCCGCCAGGTACCCAGCACTCAGGATGTGGATCCGTGTCGTTCCCGCAAGAAACACCAGGCAAAGCACAAACCAGAAGTGATAGCGAAAAACAGCCACCTTGACCATGTCCAGATAGGAGCTGGAAGATTGAAGAGGCCAGTGAAAAGGAAAGATGATGTCATTTAACAGACACAAAGGTACCTCCCACAGGTCATCTTAAAATAGAAGGAAACACAGAAAACAGACAAAGAGAGAAATGCAGCCAGCAGGAGACCCTCAGAGACCCATGGCCACACCCATGAGATGGGAACATCCACGAGCCTAGGGTCTTTTGCAATGTCAGGCTTATCAAGGTGCAGACTGCATTCAAGGGTATAGTTCTTTGAGGTTTGACAAACGAATACCGTCCTGTAACCACCATCCTGATCAAGATACAGAATATTTCCATCAGCCTCAAATTTCCCTGTGCCCGTTGCAGCCAATCCTCTCCCCCAACCTCCAGGCAACCAGCAATGTTTTCTGTCCCTGTAGTCTTGTGTTTTCCAAAACAGCACGCACACAGCACCGGGCAGCGTGTCACCTTTTGTGTGCGGCACGATGCTGTTGTGAGTCCCACTGGATTGTCATGCGTGTCAGTAAGTCATCCCTTTTTACTGCTGAGTGGTGGTTCGTGGTATGGATGCGCCACAATTTAGCCACTCACCAGTTAATGGACATTTGGGTTGTTTCCAGTTTTCGGTGATTATGAGTAAAGCTGCTATAAACATTCATGGGCAGGTTTTTGTGTGGAACTAAGTTTCCATTTCACTTGGGTAAATACCTGTGAGTGCAGTGGCTGGGTTACACAGCCAACGTACATTTCACATTAGAAGAAACCTGCCAGAAAATAAGGTCCTGATGAATAGCACAGGGAACTATATTTAATAACTTCTAAAAAGGAATTTATTGGTTGCCAAGGGGGAGGGGTTGGGGAGAGATGGAGTAAGAAGTTGGGGTTAGCAGATATAAGCTTTTATATATAGAATAGATAAACAAGGTCCTACTGTAGGGCACAGAGAATTATATCCAATATCCTTTGATAAATCATAATGGAAAAGAATATTTTTAAAATGTATATATGTGTATAACTGAATCACTTTGCTAAACAGCAGTAATTAATATAACATTGTAAATCAACTACACTTCAATAGAAAAAGAATATATATACAAATGTGTGTATATATACAGTATATATATTTGAATCATTTGTTTTACACCTGAAACTAACACATCATTGTAAATCGACTATACTTCAACTATATATTATATATATATAGTATTTATATATATATATTTATATATACACACATACTTTATAATAGTCAAAACAGTCTAAATAATTACATGTCAAGGTAATTTCTGATTAAGCAAATTAGGACATATTCAAATGATGGAATATAAAGTAGCCTTTACAATTATGATTACAAAGCATTTTGAAGTCATGAGTAAATGCTTACAAGTCAATGGTAAATGATCTATCTGTGGTGGCTGTTATTAGCAAAAAATTAGAATACAAAATTGCTCACAGGACATGAACGCTACTATATAAAAATTATTTTAAGAGACTGAAAGGAAATATGCTAAGATTTTCACAGATTCTGTCTGAAATTACAATAATCTTTTGTTCCGTTTCTTTATGATTTTCTTTTTTAGATTTTTATTGGCTTATCATTTTATTGACCTTTATTGTAGTTACTTTAAAATGTTATGTTAGTTTCTACTGAACAGCAAAGTGAATCAGCTATATGTATACACACATCCCCACTTTTTTGGATTTCCTTGGGTCATTTGTAGAGATGTGGATTAACAGAGAGCCTGTCACACAGAGTGAAGTCAGAAAGAGAAAAACAAATATTGTATAGTAACTTGTATATGTGGAATCTAGAAAAACAGTATAGATTATCTTATTTTCAAAGCAGAAATAGGCACAGAGGTAGAGAACAAACATAGGGACCCCAAGTGGGGAAGGGGGAGATGGGATGAATTGGGAGAATGGGATCAACATGTATACACTATTGATACTGTGTATAGAATAGATAACGAATGGGAACCTACTGTAGCTCAGGAAACTCTACTTAGTGCTGTGGTGACCTAAATGGGAAGGAAATCTTTATAATTTCCTTATTTTTACAACTTATAGCAAGTAAGTGTCATTACTTTTACAAATTAAAGTAAGTAAGATCAGAATGAAAGTTGAATGTTATCACTAAAAAAAAATAAATAAACTGCCCAACTATCTTCCAAAGTGGCTCTGTCATGCCGCCTTCCCCCTAGCTTTGCATGAACATTTCTGTGTCTAAATTCTTCCCAGAACTTGGTATTGTCAGATTTTCTGTGTTTGGGGTTTTTTAAATTCTTAGCCATTCTAATAAGTATGTTAGTACAATCTCTCTTTAATTTGAATTTGAATTTCCCTAGTGACTAATGATGTTGAGCATCATTTCAAAATATGCTTATTCTCTTATCTTTTTGGATTAAGTGCCTGTTCAAATCTTTGCCTGTTTTAAAAATTGCATTGTTTCCTTCATATTGAGCTATAGACATGCTTTATATGTTCTGGATACAAGTCCTTATCAGACATGTGTTTTGCAAATCTTTCCTCTCTGTCATTGGCTTATCTTTTCATGATCTTAACAGTGTCTTTTGAAGAGCAGAATATTTTTTATTTTGATGTAATGCAATTTATCAATTTTTCCCTATGATGGCTTGTGCATTTTGTGTCCTATTTAAGAAATCTTTCTTCAACTCAAGGTCACAAAGAAGTTCTCATATTTTTTTTTAAGTAAATGTTTTGGGTTTTATATTTGGGCCCACAATCCATTTCAAGTTGATTTTTGCATATGATGCAAAATACAGATAAAAAGTTTCTTTGTGCATTGGGGAGGGGCTGTGGATATGGACTTATCCAAAAATGTTCCAGCACCTTCAATAAGAAGATTATCCCTTCTGAACCAACTGTTTCATTGATCTAGGTGTCTAGCCTTTTACCAATAGTGCAGTCCTGGTGATTGGACTTTAAAGTCTTCAAATCAAGTGGTATTAGTATTCCAGCTTTGTTCTTCTTTTGTAATTGTTTTGGATATCCTAGGTCCTTTGCTTGTCTATATAAATTTATCAATTTCTTTTTTAAAAAAATATATTTGCTTATTTATGGCTGCAGCAGGTCTTAGTTGTGACATGTGGGGTCCTGCATTGGGAGCATGGAGTCTTGGCCAGTGGACAACCAGGGAAGTCCCTATTGATTTCTTTAAAAAAAAAAAAAAAGAAAGTGCCTGCTGGGTAAAAGCAAGGATCTTTCTTCCTGCTGAATTCCTAGAGCTTTAAACAGTGCCTGGCACATAATAGGTGCTCAATAAATAATTTCGAATGCGAGAATGAGTGGATAGCACAGGGCAGGGGCCCAGTCAACTTATGGTATGTTTCTAGAAGTGGGGCACTCAGAAATTCATAGAAGGTCATACACCTACTAGGGAAAACTACTTAACAGTTTCTTAAACCAATAATATGCATTTCCCTTGTGATCCAACTATCCAACCCCTAAATATTTATCCAGAGAAATAAGACATATGTCCATAGAAATCCTGTGCAGGAATGTTCTCAGAAGATTTATTTATATTAGCTCTGAGCTGGAAACAACCAGCTGATGTTCTCATGGGTAATAAAAATGTGGAATATTCATACAAGGGAATGCTATTCAGCCATAAAAAGGAATGATTTACTGAAACACGCTGAAAAATGGATGGATCTAAAATATACTACGATGAGTAAAGGTAGCCAGACACAAAAAAGCACATCCCACACAATTCCATTCAGATGAAATCCTACAACAGGTAAAATTAAGCTGCAATGCAAAAATCGAGTCAGTGGTGGTCTGAGCAAATAACTCCCTAGGAAGAGGAGAAGGGGGTGTTTCTGGGCGGATGGAGGGTTTGTGCCCTGATACACACCCACCAGAGCTGAGTGAATCTTATAGTTCTGATCTGGATGTTTCACTGTATGGAAATTAGACATCAATTCAATTTTTTAATTAAAAAGAAACTCATAGTAACTTCCTCTCCAAAGTAAGGAATTCTTGAGCCCAGGATGCTAGGCAGGAGTGGAGACTGCCCACCCACCAGGCACCCAGTTCTCACCGGCAGAAGATGAAGTTGAGAACTGGGCTGAGTTGGGCAAGGTCGGCCGGCCTGAGCTCACGGCTGATCTCCACATTGTCGCCCGCCCGCAGCCTCATGGATGCTGTGTTCTCATCCACAAACACCTGCCACTGCAGGGAGGCCGCAAGGAGGAGCAGGAAGTCAACTGCAAAGACAGGAGGAAGGGGTCGTGGTCCTCAGGAGGGGCTGCCCTGCCCACGGTCTGGACGTCCACAGCACAGCAAGCCACCTGGGGCCAGGATGCCTGAGTGTTCGGGCGGCCTGATCCTCCTCCAGCATCACATGAGAGCTTCGCTGCCCCCATCGCCTTTGGTGGAGCACATAGGACAGGAACACTGTGGGAGTTTCCAGAGGTCACTAGGAGCCCTCAAAGTTCACTCCCCTCAAAGTGTGAATCCAAGCCACAGGCAGAGAGAGAACCACGGCCCCAGGGGACCACTGGATTCCAAGATGGGGGAGGGGCACACAGTCTGGATCTATCAGCATTTGATGGATGGATGGTGAATGAAAAAATGAATTTTGCACAGGATCGAATTCAACAAAAAGGTGAGAGGTGGATGAAGGAAATGAAAACATAGGCCATCTCCACAGCTTCCAGTTACATCTTCTCTGTAAGACTCAGCCTATGTTCAAGAAGGTGGCTGTTTTCTAGACTGAGATGGACAAATCCTGAAAAGAACATGGAGTGCTCACTCTGGGATGAGTAGGAGCTGACAACATCCATGTTTTGGAAGGACTTTGAGGAAACCCTTGGAAATCTGATTTGCAAATCAGCCGTCCACTTTGTATTTAGGGTTTAATTGAATCTCTGAATTTTAAATCATCTATTGAAAAGTCCTTCCCCACCCCCAGCCCCATCAGAATAATGCTTATGAATTAAAATTCTCTCCAATGCAAGCATTTTTTAATTAGATTGAGACTTTGGAACCTGGTAACTATATATCTTCGCTGAGTACGGTCTGGGTGATTACAAGAAGATGAAATGGAGAAATATTGGAAGGAAGGTTGTCCCAAGTTCCCCAGCACCTGTCGAAGTGTACAGGTACTCGGACCCCCTCAGTACTCACAGAATAACAGATTGGCATCTGGCTTCTTGGCATAATCGGGGAGATATAACCACTTAATGAGATTTGAATGTATTTCTGTACTTGTGGTTCTCCACGGGTAATCTGTAGAGGAAGGAGGAATTGTCTTTTCATCTTCATTATTTTTCTAAAGATCATCAAGTCTGTGTTCTAGTAATGCTTCTTTCAAATTATATGGAATGACTAAGGTGTCGGATGTGATTTTGGGTCAAGAGAAGGACTCTAAGTTCAGAGGGTGCTAGAAACTGCTTCAACCTCTGACTCCCATTGGCTGACTTGCTTGGGGACCCCGAAGGGGTCTACCTTGTGGTGCTGAGGGTCCTTCCTGGAGACAGCTGCCCACTCAGGCTCCATCTGCAGGGGGCAGACCCGGGCAGACTCCCCAGTCCTGCTGAGGATTGAGAGGCAAGGGCTGAGCAAGGCTATGGGGTTAGGGGAAGGCGTGATCAGGCTAAAATCTTCAGCCTTGATCTGGGAGAAAAGGGGGGCAAAGGCAGGAGGGAGGGTGATGAGACTGTGTGAAGACAGGAAGGTAAGGACCAGGGAGCGTAGGGGGGACGAGACAGAGAGGGCAGAGAGTGAGGGCAAGAGGAAGAGACAGGAGGAGAAGAGAGGACTTAAGGAGGAAGAATCTCATGTTGGGAAGAGTGGAGGAGCAGGAAGAGACGGGGGAGGAGGAGAGGGGGAGGGGGAGAGGGAGAGGAGAGAAGGGAGCTCTGCAGGGAGAATAGGATGGAGACGATGGACATGACCTTAGGGAGGGTCACTAGCAGACAACACTTGTGTGAGCCAAGAAAATGGTACCCAAGACGAGAGCAGAGACTGTCAGTTCAACTCAGGACAAGGTTTTTGACTCTTTACTGTATGGAGATAGAAAAGATGACCCAGACCAAAGTCCGCAAACAGGGTTCTCCCTGGTCCTGGGCCCCCAAGAGCCATTTTCCCCAGTGGAGAGGTGACAGCAGCTGGTACTCCCTTCCCATCCAGCCCAGCTCCCTCATCTGTTCAGTGGGGATGCAGACATCTGGCTGGCATGACCTGACAGTACTGCTGTGGGGAAGAGCAGGGCAAAGTGAAGGGTATACGAGATGGAAGGGTATCATTCCTCCCGTTTCCTGCTCTTTTCATTTGAATTTGCTTTTTTGGGCAGAGTTGGACAAACCCTTCCTCTTGTGGCAACTCTGGGTTAGCTTGGTGGGTCTGACTGTGCTGGGACCACACCATGGTGGCTGTTGATCCTCTAGAACCACAGGGCCCAGATATTGGCCCAAACCATGTCTGAGGCCCCATGATTCCTCGGCACAGTAATCTCCCCACAAAAGGCACAGAACCCTAGTCCCTCCACCTGAGGACCTGATACGTCCAGGGCAAAGTCAGCATTTGCCAAGACTCAGTGTTTCCATGGAAGAGTCCCATGGCAGGCAGGTTGGTTTACCTTTGCAGAGAGCAGGAGGCAGCCCCAGACACAGAAAATACTGGAAGATGATCAGACAGACGAGGAAACCACAGTATCTGGGCCAGACCTCAGCGATGGCTTTTCTCCGCCGAAGGTTCAGCAGATAAACCAGCCAGATGATATGGATGAGGGCGTAGAAATCCATGCGCTGCCCCACGGTGTGGAGGGCGGCTACGAAACACAGCTGGAATGCAGGGCGAGAGACGCAGATAAGGCCATGAACAAGCTAACAGCGGGTGCAGGAAGGGCTGTCTCCCCCCACCACTCCAAGATGAGATGGTGGTTGAGATTTGGGGATGGTGAGGAGCTGGGCTCATTTACTTATTTTTACTTTATTGCTTTTACAAAGTGCCCCCACAGCCCAGAAACTCATCACAATCATTTGATGTGTTAGCAAATTGGACAAATTACAAGATCAGTTTGTTCAAGATGGTCCAGAAAGAGAAAAGAGTGGAGTCTCAACAGCGAGGGGCTATGGAGAATGGGGGATAATCTGTGGTCAGCACTGTGGCTCCATAGGGCCCTCGGTGGATCAGAGGTTTAACAAGGCAGCAAGGCAGAGGGCAGGGCCCCTTATAAAGACCCCTAGTCACGAAAGCGGGACATTCCCACTGGCCAGAGATGGGGCAATCTGAGCACTATTGGGGCAACAGTAACAATGGATTAAAATGCTGGAAACTCATTGGCTTCTTGGAAGGGTCCTACAAAACCAACTCCCACATTTGAAAAATTTAAGCATTGTTCTTGACTATAAAAAAAAAAAAAGAACTGTATCTCAGGAAAATCGAATAGTTGGGGAGAGAATGTCTGTCTTCATAGAAGTCTTTAGTTAAGAAACAAGGAGCTCATGATGGACCCAGAATACCCCCGTCTCACAGGAAACCATGGGGATGCAATCAGCAAAGTCCAGACGATGAAAAGCCCCACAGCCTTTGATCAATTTCCTTGATTACACAAATTGCAGGGATAGAAAGAGAATCTCTAGGTGAAGAGCTCAAAGGATGTATCAACCAAGTGACCAGTCACACTGTGTGGAGTCTCTTTGGATCCTGACTGGGACAAATTTTCAAGTTATGAGCCAATCCGGAAAATCTGGACACAGATTCAATGTTTAATTTTGAGAAATGTTTCATTTTTCACGGGCAGGTAACAGCCTGCGTTTGTATTTTGGAGAATTTGCATCTTTGAGAGATAAAGACAGAAGTATTCATGAAGCATGGCCTTTTCTTCAAAGTAATGCCTGGGTCCCAGGAGAGGCTTCCCTGGTGGCTCAGCTGGTAAAGAATCCACCTGCAATGCGGGAGACCTGGGATCGATCCCTAGGTCGGCAAGATCCCCTGGAGAAGGAAATGACTACCCACTCCAGTATGCTAGCCTGAGAAATATCATGGACAAAGGAGCTTGGCGGGCTATAGTCCATGGGGTTGCAAAGAGCTGGACATGACTGAGTGACTAAGACACACACATCCCGGAGAGGGAACAGAAGGGTACAAGGTGAGCAGAGAGTTGATCATTGCTAAAGACGCTGAAGGATGCAGGGCAGCTGAAGATATGGCTCTCTCTACTTTTGTATATGTCAGATGTTTCTCTTGTTTAAAGAAATAAAAAACAAGGAATTGACAAATGGAAGCAAAAGCAGAGAGGTCACCTCAAGCCCAAACTTGTAAAATCCAAAGTGGATGAAATACTGCAAGGCACTCATCAGCCCATGGTCCAGATGCGCCCGGGTGACGGTGTCCAAGGTGGCGCTGGCAAGGGGCCCCGACAGTCCTTCCCGAAGTCGGTGGATGCTCTGGCGCTGGCTCACCATCACGTCCAGAGTCGTCAGGGCCAGGACAGCCAGCTGGTTCTGCCAAGCACAGAAAACCCACATCAGTGCCGTCTGGGGCAGAAGCCCAGTTTCCCGGGGCTGCCCACTAGGCAGACCACTTTGCAGGACACCCAGATCCTCCACCTGCCACTCTCCAGAAGCATTGTGGTTTGGGTGATCAGCCCACCAGGCTGCCCCATCCCAACAGAAAACGTTGGTTTCAGCACCAACTCTTATGAAGGGAGGGGGGCCTGCTTCTTCACTCAACCTGTCAGAGGGAGTAGATAACATCCCCTCCCTGTCTCCCAAGCATTTCCTCTCATTTTTCCCCATCAGAGATGCTCTCTGCAAATACAGAGGTATTGATTTACCAATTGATCGAGGTGGAGAAAGCTTCATACAGTTATGACTCTTGACAAGCTGGGAATAAAAAGCCGATCATAATGAGTTCATTTACTTTGGTTGATTGTATTACTTTATAACACAAGGCGTACACCAACACCCCCTTCCAAGGACAACTCCCTCTCGTAGCTTCACAACGGTGCTGGTTTGTGTTGAAATTCATCTTGGGGCATGAGGTGTGAATTTAAAGATCTTCCTTAGCTGGCTGCATCTTTTTTTTTTTTTTTCCAATGCGATGGCCATTCTAAGGAATCTTTCCTGCACCCAGGATGACTTGATGGATGGAGGAAGAACCACTTAGATGCAGGGTTTATAAGAGGGTGTTTGTTGATGAGCGATGGGGGGAAGATGCAGTGAAAGCCTAATTGTTGGTTATAAATATGCTGTATTTTCCCTATCGATCATGTGACACGGAAGTGAAAAGGATTACCTTATTAGATCATATTTAGCCATAAGTATGCCCTGTGTGCTGTAACATGAGGCCACTTGCGAGAGACTGACCAATTATTCCAAATGAAGAGAGGTCTGTTCGGCGCCCCAGACGGTCCAAGTGTGTCCCGGTTCCTATGCAGATGTGGCCGGCCTCCTCGCCGCCTTTCATGCCCTTCATAGAGATTCTCTGTTCCAAGCAGCCTCCTGTGGCTATGCGGAGACCCCAGTGCAAATTAGGAGATGGGGACTAAATAGGACTTCTGTTTGACGGCTTGGACGGCTGGCTGGTCCTTTTCCAGGAGCTTCTGGGGGCGATGTCTGGAGTTGCGTGGTAACCAGCGGAGGCTGACACGTCTTAAAATAAAGTGTCTGACAATGAACCTCTGCTCCCTGCGTTCCCAGGAAATGGATGAGGGCAGGGGGGCTGCCTGCGGTGACTCGGAGGACAGCAGAGCCTTGTTGTCCATCTTCTCGGGTAGCTTGTTAAAATAAACCGGTTCTGCTCTTCCCTGCCTTGCTGACAGTATGCACTTAATGCCATGCCTCCCTCTTTGAGGAGCAAGGGCGGCCTCCCCTGCTACGTGGGGTGCAGCTGGGTCACGGGGCCCCTCGCCCGTGGTCTGCTTCTGGGAACAAGCTCTAAAGCTGGGCCAACATGGCTTCCTCCTTCTGGAGGGCTAGAGGGGTGACCCGAGCCCTCTGGATTCCAGGCCTCCTTTGAGAAGTGCCCTTGGTGGAGGGCAAGGGGCAGAATCCAGAAGCAGACACAGGGTTGTCCTGGGAGGGTGCCAGGGACAGGGCCCCGGGCTCAGCTGGTTACTGTCAGCACCCCAACTTCTGCACTAGAGACACTCCAGCACTTTGGGTCCCTACCTGCTAGGACAGCAACCTCCTTTCATTCGCTACCTGAGTCCTCTTTGTTCTAGACTGAGGTCTGGGAACCCCTGACCAGCCGAAGAGAGGGGGCGTGTGTGCCCACCTCCCTCCACACACCTGCCGTTGCTACCTGGTCTCCTACTGCTTTGGGGAGACACCCCCACTTCCTGTTTCTCAGGTGTGACCCTGTAGGATGGCCTGTTCCGGCCAGCAGGTGACCCTGAGCTGGCTCTCACTTCTGCCCCACTGTTGCTGCTCTTTGTGACCTCAGACAAGTGCTTCAGCCTCTCTGAGCCTCAGAGCCACTGGAGGTAGGGCCCCCCACCCTCAAGTCACAGGCTGAGCTGAAAGAGTTCGGATCACAAGCGAATCCCTTGCAAACTCCCAGCACGTTGGAAGAGGCCCCAGAAGGGGAGCAATTAATCTCCCCACCTACACAGGCAAGGCGCGACCAGACTTCGATTTTGGCTGAGTTGTTTAATTTTCACTTCTGCTAACAGCCTGCCTTTAATGTCACCTCTGTCCTTATTCATTCCTGGCTTTCCGAGCCGCCACGGAAACCTCTCTAGGCAACACAGTAAAAGAGAATGATAAGTCAGAGCCAGGTTCATCGCGGTAATATATTACTTGGCCACCAAAGCAATTACTTAATGTAATGTTCCCTGGGAAGGAAGGGGACGCTGAGTTTACGGAGAGGGTGCCCACTGCATGCCCGGCCTGGCCAGCTTCTCCATCTCGTCCCGTCTACCCTGGTGCTCAGACCCTGGAGGTTCACGCTGCTCTGACATCCCCGTTTGTCTGCACCTGCTAATCACGGGCTGTGATGTCATCCCTACCTTCAGACAAGGTAGGGCTCTGCCATCACACTTCGTTAATGCTCCGAGCCACTCTGCCGGGTCCACAGGCTGCAGTGAGACCATCAGTCCTCCGGCGAGCAGCGCTGGTGGGCGCGTTCCATTTGCTCGCCACACCTTGGGGGGATGCAGAAACGATGACGGGGCACTGGGTGGTGGTGGACCCCAAGAGCAACTCAGCTACAGGGTTTCCTGGGAAGGACTTCAGCTGAAAGACCCCAAGCAAGGCCCTGTGCCTCAGTTTCCCCATCTGTAAAAGAGCCAGATGGACCAGACAGCTCTTCTGGCACCTTCATTGGGCTTTCCCCCTCACAGTGGGGTAGCTGGGCATCAGCTCCCTCTGGGCCCAGAGATCCTGGCCCCCAGGCAGATGGTTTCTCACCGTACCTCTTGACACGTTGTCCACAGGCTGGGCATGGGGTGGTTGCGGGGCTCTCCTACCTGCCCCACCCCCACCCTTCCTTCCCAGACTTAACAGTGTCCTTTCCACCCTCCTCCCGCCACCTCCAGCCCCAAGGTGTCTATGTCCTTGCATGTGTTCATCTGTCCCTTCAGAATCTCATCTGCAGCATCTCCCAAGCACTCGCCCCAAGTACAGTGCCGGGTGCAGAGCAGGCTTGCCATCAGTGTGTGTTGAATGATTAAATGGACATAGGACGGCTCTTAGGTGAGTCGTTCACAACCTTTCCAAATGGGCCTCAACTGTCTCCTTGAGATGGCCGAGATTGCACTAGCTGGCTTTTCCCAGATACAACAGCATTGTATTTTGATGGCTCCTCTGACAACTCTCCTTAGAGAGAGGAAGGCAGATGCTGGAGAGGCGAGAATTCAGACCCTGCCTTTGCCTGGAGCCCTCCTGTCTGGCCAGGAAGAAGCTGCGGCGCCAACGGAGCTCACCTGTGTGCAGTTTGAAGCATAGGCAGAGGGTACAACCCACTTCAGTTGGTACATCACTCTGCAGACCACTATCACACACGCCCAGACCGTGGAAACACGGGACATGAAGGGGCGCAAGGTGGAATAGGGCAGGGACAACACCCAGAAGATGTAAAACACGGAGTTCATCAAGGAAGCCTACAAGGAAAGTGCTGAGGTCTGTGGGTACCTTGGCTTGGCTCTTATTCCCTGCCTGTGATCAGAGTAGCACAAGTTAGGGGCAAACGGGACTTAAAAATACACCCACTGGGCCTTCCATGAGACGTCAACACCATGCAGAAGAAAGAGAAGGGTCTTAGAACCTGAAGGCAATGGTCCTCCTGGAAACCACTGACCTCCTGCAGGGTGAGCCAGACGACCACGGGGGCCAGAAGCTTAATGCTATGTGTTTCCAGCACACGCCTCAAGAATGCTTGAGTTCCGTTCACCATTTCTAGAAACTTCTGAAAGCCAGCAGTCGGCTTGTCAACTGCCAAGTCCCAATCACCCGTTTCCTCCTCTGGGGGAAGAGAAAGGCTTTGACCAGATGTCCCTGGTGATGCCGTGGGGTCTGGCTTTGTTGTTGAAAACGATGGGAAGAAGCCTGCATCTCAAAGGAAGCCAGAACAAAGCAGAGAAAACTAGGAAAACAGTGCTTCTTTTTTTCTAAAGAAAGCTGTTTTCCAATAATTTTGAGTGCCTGTGACCAGGCCCTGCGTCCCCACACTGGCTTCCCTCCTCTCTGCTGCTGAAGCTGTCTGTTTGGCCCTCTGTCCACATCCCAGGTGCTGGTGAACACTCATGTCCCCTCTACACCAGGGTTGTTTCTATAAAGATTAGTGCATGCATGTGCTCAGTCATGTCCGACTCTTTGAGGTCCATAGACTGTAGCCTGCCAGGCATCTCTGTCCATGGAATTTTCCAGGCAAGAAGAGTGGAATAGGTTGCCATTTCCTCCTCCTGTGGCTCCTGCATTGGCAGGTGAATTCTTTACCACTGAGCTACCTGGGAAACCCCATATCGTAAATATTCCAGACTCAGGTCATAGTGTCTGGGTCACACACTCTTGCAGCACTAGAGCACCTACAGGCCGTATGTAGATGGGTGTGGCCTTATCTGCAAAGTCAGGAGGGGCAGATTTGGCCCTGGGGCCACAGTTTGCTGAGCATTCCTTAAGGGAAGGGGCACCAATTATTTCCCCTCTGTACCTTCAATGCTCAGCACCTTGCCTGGCACACAAAACACCCCCCCATCCCCCTACCAAATGCCATGGAGCATGAATGAATAAAAAACAAACTGCCCAAGGGGTGTTAAAGCATGTACTTTGACAACATGAAAGACACTAGCATGTGTTGAGCACTCAGAATATGTCAGGTGCCATGCTAAATGCCCTCCCACCTCGTTTCTTGTTTCTGTCCAACCCGCAAGCAGAATCAACAACAAGCATGGCCCCCAATCCCTTGTAAGCAGTGGCTCCCCAGGTAAGCAAAACAGACCCTGGGGAACCTCAGTCGCTTGTAACTCAAATACTGTGTTTTAATTGAAAATAAAATGTCAGCCGTCTGCCCAGCTGCTGTCAGAGTCTGCAGGTCCAACTGATGTGAATGGGCTCCCCATCGGGCATGGGAATGAACATGGGCAGGAGGAAGCAGGCGGATGGCGCAGAGCCATGACATCCCAGCCCCCATCACACCTGAGACACTTGGCCTGCCCCCAAAATAAAATGCGAAGACAGTATGCTGAGACCATGTCAAATCAGGGAACCAGGTCAACAATCTGGGTGGATTATTTTTTTGTTTTAATTAGTCAACTGTTTGCCTGGGTGCCCAGAATTCTTGGCAGCTCTGGAGAAGAGCCCCCGGGCTGCATCATGCAGGGCTTCGAAGGGAAAGCGGCATCTCCCACCTGCTGGCACCTTCCTCCCCAGCCTTCCAGACTCCTCCGCCTTCCTTTCGGAACTGCTGGCTTTGTCGGCACAGTTCTGAGTGGCCTCCTCTTCCCCGCTGCGTCGTAATCTGAAAACCAAAGGCAGAAAACTGAGGGACTTTCAAGCAGGGGGATTGGGTACCAACTCATTAGCCTGTGTTATCAAAGCCCATAAACGCAATGGGTCCATGCCGTGAGCAGACACGCGTAGGGGACAGAATCAAGGACTTGGCCATAGGAGGAAAGTTGTGTTTGACCTGCACCATCAGGAATCACATTTATGACTTGCTCGGGGCACAATTGACTTCAGAAATCAATTTCTGGAAAAGAATGCATTTTCTGTGACTCTTTAGTTCTTACCTCTTCTGAAGTTTCCCAGGTATAACCTTAAGCCTGAAAGAGACACACACACAGAGCTCTATTTATAAAAGTATTCCTTTCTTATTGGATTTATTTAAACAGCAAACTCTAACAAATCTTTAAGAGTTTACTCATTTGTTATATTGACTGGACAAAGCACTGTTGCTGTTGTTTAGTTGCTAAGTTGTGTCTGACTCTTTGCGACCCCATGGACCGAAGCACGCTAGGCTTCCCTGTCCTTCACTATCTCCTGGAGTTTGCTCAGATTCATGTTCATTGAGTCAGTAGTTTAAAAAGTAGTTCAAAGGGCACAAAGGGTACACAGTGAAAAACAACTTTCTTTCACACCTTTGTCTCCTTCCCCAAGGCAAGCACCATGACAGATCTCGCGTGCATTCTTCAAAAGATGCATACTTCACACATTCAGTATAGGCCTGTGTGTGCAGGTATCTTTTCCTTGGACCAATAAGGGCACATCCTATATACAGTGTTCTGCCCCTTGCTTTTGCCGCTTGCCCATCTAGCTTCAGTCTCACCCCAGATCAGCACACACAGGGCTGCCTCCTCCTCTCAGAACATCCTAGATTCTGAGACACAGCGTCATTTGCTTAGTCAGGCCCCTAGGGATGGGCATTGATTCTCTGCTGGAATTTTTGTAAAGAATGAGATCAACACCTGAATGCTCAGTGAACAGGGCAACTGAGCCAGGGGCAGCGCGTCTGGTGCGCCCGACGCAGGGCATGCTCCCTGGGGAGAGCACGCCTTGCAGGAGGAATTTTAAAGAGAGGCACTCATACGTCTGGCAGGAGATGCACGTCGGTTTCCTTCCTGTTGCCGGGGGAGACAGATCACAGGGGGCTTAGGTTGGAAGTACAGGGGGGGCTGGAGTGCGTATTATGTTGCCATGACAACCCAGTCCGCAAACATCATCAGCCACCTCTGAAAACCCCCACCCCTTCACATCATCCCAGTTGACCCAGGGAGCCCTGGGGGGTCTCAAAAGAGAACCTTTCTCCCCAGGTGTTCTCCTCTCTCCAAAGCAGGCATCCTTTCCAAACTACACATAATTTCGGGGATGGAGGGCAGGGTGCAATGGAGGAAAGAGTGCCCTGCTCACAGGCAGGGCCTCCCAACCCCACCCAGGGACCAACAGGCTCCAAGCACCCTTCCTTTTCTATAAAGCTTTCACATCCCACCTTGGATACGAACAAAGCTGAGTAAAAACCAAAATCAAACCGCACGATGTTGACAGAAAAGAGTATTTGACAACCCCCGGGGAGAAAAATAATCAAGCCATGGTATTTTGTGTACTTTTTCACAAAACGTGCTAGGAGCATGGCAGAGTTTGATCCGAAAAACAGATGCAGGCCTTGAGGCCTTGAGAAGGCCACAGCCTCCTGCCTAACTTTTGAGTAAGAAAGCAAATTGCTCTGGCGACACACCACCTTCTAAAATAAGAATTCTGCAAAATATCCTATCCTATTAGTGACTCAAATTTTAGAAAACCTTTAAAAGACAAGTTTCACAGCCAATGTCTTAATTTAGTTAGAGGCCAAAATGGTGAAAACGAAAATAAACTAGACCCAGAGGCCTGCAGACCATCCGACAGGCAGACAGCGCTGACCCAGAGAGTCGCAGCGAAAGCCAAGTGCACATTCCTGCCCAGAAGCCCCTGGCCTGGTCCGTAGACCCTCCAGACACACAGGGTCTAACTTTCCCCACCAACGTCTACAGAACACCTACAGATGGATGACTCAGTGCACCGCCTGACGCTGAGCCTGCCATTCGCACAATCTCCAAAGGCTGCCCCGGGGACAGTGGTACCTGTCAGATGAGCCCTCCCAGGTAATGGGGCTATTATGCAGGCCAGTGGTCCTCCTGAGGTCCTCATTACAACAACGACAGTGGAGGATGCCTGCCAGCAGGAGCGCAGCGGGCAACAGGAGCTCAGCAAACAGCGTGGCCACGTGGAACCGCTGCAGGCCCAGGTCTCGGAGCCTGGAACGGATCGAGGTCGAGAGGCTGCTGTTCCCTGGGTCCTGCCTGACAAAAGACGCCTTCCCTGAGGGGCCCAACTGCCCTTCTCTCTCTCTCTCTTTTAAAAGACATATTTATTTACTTGGGGGGGCTTCCCTAGTGATTCAGACAGTAAGGAATCTGCCTGCAATGCGATAGACCTGGGTTTCATCCCTGGGTCGGGAAGATCCCCTGGAGAAGGAAATGGCTACCCACTCCTGTATTCTTGCCTGGAGAATTCCATGGACAGAGGAGCCTCGTGAGCTATACAGTCCATGGGATTGCAAAGAGTCAGACATGACTGAGAGACTAACTCTTTCTACTTCTTTCTATTGATTTACTTGGCTGCGCTGGGTCTTAACTGTGGCACGCAGGATCTTATTTGTGCCATGTGGGATATGGTTCCCTGATCAGGGATTGAACCCAGAGTTCTTACATGGGGAGCATGGAGTCTTAGCCACCGGACCACCAGCAAAGTCCCTCTACTGCTCTTTGCCTTGATCAGTTCAGTTCAGTCGCTCAGTAGTGTCCAACTCTTTGTGACCCCATGGACTTCAGCACACCAGGCTTCCCTGTCCATCAGCAACTCCTAGAGCTTGCTCAAACTCATGCCATCCAACCATCTCATCCTCTGTCATCCCCTTCATCTCCTGCCTTCAATCTTTCCCAGCATCAGGATTTTTTCTAATGAGTCAGTTCTTCGCATCAGGTGGCCAAAGTATTGGAGCTTCAGCTTCAGCATCAGTCCTTCAAGGAATATTCAGGACTGATTTCCTAGAGGATTGACTGGTTTGATCTCCTTGCAGTCCAAGGGACTCTCAAGAGTCTTCTCCAATACCATAGTTCAAAAGCATCAATTCTTTTGCACTCAGCTTTCTTTAAGGTCCAAATCTCACATCCATACATGACCACTGGAGAAACCATAACTTTGACTAGACAGACCTTTGTTGGCAAAGTAATGTCTGCTTTTTAATATGCTGTCTAGGTTGGTCATAGCTTTTCTTCCGAAGAGCAATTATCTTTTAATTTCATGGCTGCAGTCACCATCTGCAGTAATTTTGGAGCCCCCAAAAATAAAGTCTCTCACTGTTCCCATTGTTTCCCCATCTATTTGCCATGAAGTGATGGGACTGGATGCCATGATCTTAGTTTTCTGAATGTTGAGCTTTAAGCCAACATTTTCACTCTCCTCTTTCACTTTCATCAAGAGGCTCTTTAGTTCTTCTTCGCTTTCTGCCATAAGGGTGGTGTCATCTGCGTATCTGAGGTTATTGATATTTCTCCCGGCAATCTTGATTCCAGCTTGTGCTTCATCCAGCCCAGCATTTCTCATGATGTACTCTGTGTATAAGTTCAGTAAGCAGGGTCTTGATAAGCAAGTGATATTTGATTGTGAGGGTCCTGGAGAGCCTTGCTGTTGTTGTTCAGTCCACTAAGTCGTGTTCAGGTCTTTGCGACCCCATGGACTGCAGCACACCAGGCTCCCCTGTCCTTCACTGTCTCCCAGGAGAGTTAATGATGGCTAAAGTCCTGAGGCAGTTGGCCATGTGTATAACCCCACATGGAATAATTGTAATAGTGAGACTCTGAGTATGGGGAGAAGCAATAGGACTAAACTTCTCCTGGATTATGATAGACTTGTAAGACAGGTGATCCAGAGAATTTTAGATTATCAGCAGGGCCTGTGAATCCTAAAATGAAAACATCGCGTGGCCTATCCACAGAATCTTTGTCTGATCTAGGAAGGAGACTTCCCAGGGCCCTGGGACAAAATTGGTCATGAAATGCCTCCCAGACGTTGGTTGCATTTATGACCGAGAGGAGGCGCTGTAGACAAAGAACTCACTTGCCACACCAAGAAACACAGGATGCTGGGGTCATCAAGCTTCAGTCACAACAGCCACCCTCCCCACCCCCACTCCAAAATGCACCCTGGGGGGATTCAGTAGGGAGAAAACAGGGTGCTAGCTCGAGAATCCGGCTCTGGGCCACAGTTCTGTGGCAGGTGGGCACCCATGACCTGGGGAAGCCCAGCGCCCTCACGGGAACCTCTGGCACGTGTGCTCTCGGCATAAACAGACTCGCAGCTAAAATTCAGGCTGCGAGCTGAGGACGGGGTTTGCCTGAGTCTGGTGAGATCCCAAGGTGGGAACACCCTGGGGTTTCAAGTCCGTGGGTCCTGAGACCCCAGTAGAACAGGAGGGACCTGGCAGCAAAATCTCCAGGGGGTCCTCTTCCTGGGCCCCGATCTTGAAACTTGGAGCTGCCAGAGGCATCTCCCCACTCCTGGAGGGGCTCGGGAGCTTTACAGAGATGCCCAGAGAGCACAGAACCAACTAGAAAAGCCACCTCCCCATACATCAGCCCAGGGCCTAAGACATTCTTACCCCTCTTTAGAAAGTCCTAGGGTTTCATTGAAAAATCCAGAAACAGCTTGAAACTGGAAAGTGTAGACAGCGAAAAGGACCACCATGGAGTAAGAGACCACGAGCATCCAGAAGCACTTGGAGCTCCTTCTCCAGGAACTATAGTGTATCTGCAATTCAGACATAGTCCTGATAAAGGCCAGGCAGGGTTTAGAGAGGTGGGCAGGGCAGGGGCGGCCGTGACCAGAAGGGGCCACAGGGGAGGGTACAGGGAACAGCTCCCTCTGCAAAACTATTCCTTCCAACAGAAATCTTTGCTGCTTGGAACCCAAGCTCATTCCTTATATATACACATGCACATGCACATACACACACACATACACGTACACACACACATACATATATGGGCTTTCCTGGTGACTCAGATGGTAAAGAATCTGCCTGCAATGCAAGAGACCCAGGTTTGATCCCTGGGTCAGGAAGATCCCCTGGAGAAGGGAATATTTACTCACTCCAGTATCCTTGCCTGGAGAATTCCAAGGACAGAGGAGCCCAGCAGGCTGCAGTCCATAGGGTTGCAAAGATTTGGATAAGATTGCACAACTAACATTTTCACTTTTATATATATATATATATATACATATATATATATATATATACACACACATACATACATATATATACATTTATCTGGCTGCATCGGGTCTTAGTTGTGATGTGTGGGATCTTCAGTTGTGACATGCAGGATTTAGTTCCCTAACCAGGGATCGAACCCAGCCCCCCCTGCACTGTGAGCATGGAGTCTTACAATGGACCACCAGGGAAGTCCCCAAGCTTATTCTTATATGAGGGTCTAGATAAGTTTTAATGAGACACACAAAGTGAAGTCAGGGGTCCAGGCCTTCAGTTAAGTTTCCTGCAGAAAAGCAAACCTCAGCACTAGGAAGGGTAACCCCCTGCCCCACCCCCCGCCCCCAGACAGCCAGGAAGCTGTGGCATTGGGAGTTCTGTCTATATATTGAGCAGTCCAGGTGGTATTGGAAATTGATCTCTCCCTCTGTCTATGGCTCCCGGGTTCCACGCACTCTCTCTCCACCCATGTGTTGGAACCGCTCACGTATCTGGAGGCAGGGTTGGTGCGTCTGGTCATGGAGCAGGCTGTGTGGCCTTATTGATAAGTGTGAATGGGCACCTGGGTCAGAGGCTTGGCCGAGCAGCTGTGGGTGTGAAGCCTGTGAGCTTCGTGGTCCCCCCTCCACGAGGAGAGTGCCAGCCCCGAGACAACCCCGCACGGCAGGGCCAGAAGTCAGAAAGCAGAAGGCAGAAGCAGCCTGGGGCAGAGAAGCAGGGCAGGGGCTGGGGGCTCGGGGTCCCACCGGGGTTCACCTGGTACCAGGCCACCCAGAACAGGAAGAGGAGGATGTAGACGACCCTGTATACCACCACTTTGCCGGCAAAGCTGACAGCAAAGAGCAGGGCGGCACCAAGGCAGAGCCAGTACTCGACTAGGAGACTCTTGAGGATGGTGGCAGGAATGCTCAGCAGGACGCTGCTGGGCCCTGTGCAGGGGAAGAGGCAGAGGAGTACTCAGATTTCTGGGACTCCAGCCAGAGTGTTTCCCTGTCCCCTTCCGACAGGAGCCTTCAGGTCCAACTCCACTGAGAGACAGGTTGGGGAGGTGGTGTCTCCAGGGCTGGGACACTGGATTCTGAACCACGAGGGCCCAGAGAGCCTCCCCCAAAGCCCCCTCCCATCCAGGGACATCACTCTGCTCAGGAAGGGGCTTGTGGCTTATATCCCATCTGGGGCCAGAAAGTTCTAGATCTGAACTCTTGAAGAGAAAAGCCCTGTTGCTGGGCACCTCCCAGACCACAGGCTGCCCCTGCACCCCACTCTGAGTTTCTGGGCATGAGCCAGGTCTCCTGGGACCACTAGCTGTGTGACCTTTGAGAGCCAGCAGGGAACCAGCTGAAGGCAGACCAGAAACAAGGGCCTGGAGGCTCCTTTGACCCTAAGATTCTGGGATTCCTAGGGGAAATGGTTAACTTCAAACATGCACATAAATGGCATGAGAAAGGGCAGGAGCCAGTCCATCCAAGGTCCTCACCGCTCACGTCCCCGAGGTCCCCCCTCCAGGCCTCCTCCTCTGCTGGCCTCTGGCTCTCGGAGACCTGCAGCCGCAGCAGCAGCCAGAACACAGATGCACAGAGACTCTGCAGTGGAAACACGGCTTCCTTTACGGCTCACCCTGGACCTCCCAGAAAGCAAGCCATGGTCTCCCTCCCGCCACAGGGGCTGGGGCTGGAAACAGGCTTCTGTCTCTCAGAGCCCTGTCGTCTAGGGTGCAAGAGCCGCAGCAGCTCCGTAGAAGGGGGCGTCGGGGGCCGGCTGGAACGTGTGCCCCCCACAGCCTGGTGCACCCTGGGCTCACATCACCCATGCCCCTCGGAGACAATGGGGGTCAGACTGGAGGTGCTCATGATGTTCCCCCTGCATCTTGCGGCGTGAAGACGAAGGCACACAGGGTCTCCCAGAGCCGGGAGCTGAGCCAAGGTGGACCCCCTCGGCCCTGCCTCCTCCTGCGCCCCCGTGGCCACTGTCTCCAGCCCTCAGCTGCGGTCTTTTCTGAAATGTTAAATCCCCTGGCCCCATCCCCATCCCCAGAGCTCATCTTGGCACCCAGGTGGAGACATGGCTGCAGGTAGGGTTTCAGGTCCATGTCAGCGAGGAGCCAGCCGGGGGCCCCGGGGAACAGCTCCTCCTGGGACACACGGAGGCCCGCCACGAAACTGAGGACGATCAGGACGCTGGCGTAGCCGACCAGGAAGGGTGCACTTCTCAGGGCCAGGCGGCAGGGATCCCGGGCCATCCAGATGACACAGGCCCAGAGCAGCAGCAAGCAGCCTGGCCAGCCTGTGAAGCAGATGCTCCACACCTGCAGAGGGGCAGCCCCTCTCAGAGCACATCTCAAGGACCAGGGGCTCTGAGCCTTCTTGAAACTTCATTTCCAGGTCTTCCCTGGCGGTCCAGTGGTTAAGAATCCGCCTTGCAATGCCAGGGCCACAGGTTCGATCCCTGGTCTGGGAAGGCCCCACATGCTGAGGAGCAGCTAAGCCCATGTGCCATAGCTACTGAGCCAGTGCTCTAGAGCTCGGGAGCTACAGCTACTGAGCCCACGTGCTCCAACCACTGAAGCCTAGTCACCTAGAGCCCGTGCTCCCCACAAGAGAGTAGACCCTGTGTGCTACAACTAGAGAAAGCCTGCATGCAAAAACAACAACAATAATAACAACAACCACCACCACAGCCAAAATTAAATAAACAGATAAATCTTTAAAAAAAAAAACACTTCATTTCCAAATCCAGCAACTCCCCCTACACCCAGCAGGAGCCCCCATTATTTGGGCAGATAAGCAGGACTTCTCCTGTGCAGCAGCCATTAGTATGGTCCCTCTCTCAAATCCACTTTGGATGTAAAACTTTGGATAAATGCATTTGATCAGCAGCCAAAGCTCCCTTTTGAGCAGGGTAGTGGGGGACTCGGGGTTTCCAGCCCTACTCCCCATCTCAGAGCCACTGTGGGGAGTTACATCCAAGCAAGAGGGGATGGCTGGTACAGCCCAGCCCTCCCCAGAGACCCTCTTATAACCAGGAGACTTGTCCCTTACAAGAGGTTTTTCCTTCCCTTGTAAAGGTGATGCAAGCTTGGCCAACCCAGTGGTAAGGACAAGCAGAAGCATTTTACCACAAAAAAAAAGCCTCTCTGAGAAGGACACATGGGCCTCCAGCCCAACTCCTCCTGCACTCAGGCCCCGGTCGGGACACCCCCAGCTCACATGGGATCTTTCATCAAGTATGCCAAGTGCTTTCCAGCTCTCTGAGCTTCATTGCAAGTGCCAGGACCCAAAAATATATGATGGAGAAAAGATAGTCCCTTCAGTAAGTGGTGTTGGGAAAGCTGGACAGCCTCCTGTAAATCAATGAAATTAGAACACTCCCTCACACCATATACAAAAACTCAAAACGGTTTAAAGACCTAAATGTAAAACACGACACCGTAAAACTCCCAGAAGAAACACAGGCAAAACATTTTCAGACATAAATCGTAGCAACATTTTCTTAGATCAGTCTCCCAAGGCAAAAGAAATAAGAGCAAAGACAAACAAATGGGACCTAATCAAACTTAAAAGCTTTTGCACAGCAAAGGAGACCATCAACAAAACAAAAACAACCTACAGAACAGGAAAAAATATTTGCAAATGACGCAGCCAACAAGGGCTAAATTTCCAAAATACACAGCTTATGTAGCTCAATATCAAAAAAAAACAACTCAATCAAAAAATGGGCAGAAGACATTTCTCCAAAGAGCACACAGATGGCCAACAGGCACATGAAACGATGCTCAGCATCACTAATTATTAGAGAATGCACATCAAACCTATAATGAGGTATCACTTCACAGTGGTCAGAATGCCCATCGCCAAAATGTCTACAAATAAGAAATGCTAGAGAGGGTGTGGAGAAAAGGTAACCCTCCTACACTGGTAGAAATGTAAATTAGTGCAGTCACTATGGAGAACAATATGGAGATTCCTTAAATAACTAACTATAGAACTACCGTTTGATCCTGTAATCCCACTCATGGACATTTATCTAGAAAAGATGAAAAGTCTAATCAGAAACATGCATGCACCCCAATGCTCACAGCAGCACTATTTTCAACAGCCAAGACATGGAAGCAACTCACATGTCCATCAACAGATGAATGGATAAAGAATATGCAGTGTATATACATATACATATATATATATATATGTATGTATGTATGTATGTATAATGGACTATTTCTCAGCCATAGCAAAGAATGAAATAATGCTGTTTGCAGCAACAGCGACAGACCTAGAGATTATCATACTAAGTGAAGTAAGTCAAACAAAGCAAAACAAGTATAATATGATATCACTTATATGTGGAATCTAAAAAGAATGATACAGGTGAATCTATATACAAGACAGAAATAGACTTACAGACATAGAAAACAAATATGGTTACCAAAGAGGGAAGGGAAGCAGGAGAAGGATAAATTAGGAGTTTGGGATGAACAGATTCAAACTACTATATATAAAACAGATAAACAACAAGGATATACTATATAACACAAGGAACAATAATCAATATCTTATAATAACCTATAATGGAAAATAATCTGAAATATATATGTGTATCACTGAATCCCTTTGCTATACATCTGAAACTGACACAACATTATAAGTTATCTGTTGGTGTGTGCATGCATGCTCAGCTTCCCTCCCCAGGACTCACCATCATGGTGATCAGTGCGGGGACATGGCTATGCCTTATGGCGAGATAGCCCAAGACTGAGGCGCAGCTCAGCCCTGACTCTGTAGGGGTGGCGGAGGCAGCATGTCCTGTAAGCAAAGGGCATCGACAGGCTTCAGGTGGCGGGGAGGGGGGGGTGCGGTGGGGCTGTAGCAAGATAGACACACCCAAGCCTGCAATCTGCAGGGGGGCTCTCAGAGGGTCTGTCCTTGGCACAGGGAGGGGTCAGATCACCCCACATCCCCTGTGCCCACACAAGAGCAGCCTGGCCAACATCAGCCCCACCAACCACCCACACCTTCCCTCCAAATGGAGAGCACACCCTTTGAGTCCTGCCTGAACCTATCCATGAGCCCAGTGGCACCTTTGCCAACACCCTGAAGCCAACGTGGCAGACGTGAGCGCCTACTCCTAGAGCCCCTGAGGACCTGGCAGTTGGTTGGTTCTCAGTGGCTATTTCTAGAATAAGTGAACGAGATGGATGTCTCATTCAGCCCAGTGCAGGTTTAAGGATTCTCTCTAAGTGGTCCACAGTATGCCATCACTCAGGAAGCTATTATTAGGTGCCTTCTGTAGGCCCAGCATAGGCTAAGCCGCATCAGCCCCATCCTCCAAGGAGTTAAAATCTAGTTGGACAGAAGGTCCTGGGAACTCGTTGGAGGACCAGGGGAGATGGCTCTTGGTAGCGAGTGTGTCTGTGCTGCTGGGGACCTCTTTCCCAAAAGGAGGTGAGGACAGGAAATGGGAACCTACTTGCACTCATGACTCAGGTCATCACGGCCTTGTGAAGGACACTCTAGAGTTCTCAACCAAGGGTGGCTTTGCCCCTCCCCCACCCAGGGGACACTTGGCAGGGTCTAGAGACATGCTGGCATGCGGGGAGAGGGGGTGATACTGGTGTCTACTGGGTGGAGGCCAGGAGGTTGCTCAACATCCCACATGGACAGAACGGCCTTCTGCAGAGAAGAATCCCGCCCAAAATGTTGCTGGTGCTGAGGTGGAGAACCGGCTCTCGCCAGGATTAAGTTAGGATTAGGTTAAGAGCAGGCATTTTAAGTCAGCCGGACATGGTTTCCTGTGGGCCGGGGACTTAAGCACTATGATCCCCTGTTTCCTTCTCAGCAAAATGAGCTGGACAGTAACACCAGTTTATGAGGCCCCTTCCATCCAGCAAGGACGGAAAGAGGGGCTGAGCATCCAGGGCCCGGGGCTCAGCTCACACATCAAAAAAGTTGCCGTTCTCGTCATGATGACGGACCTTGTTTCTGTTCAAGTTCAGCAGTTTTTAGGTCCATTCTGCCCAGTTTTTTCTGCCCAAAGAACGTTCCCTAAGCAAGTGTGAGGCGTGACGTGGCGTCTCCTGCGTCCCATCTGAACTCAATGGTTTGTAACCCAGGTGGGTAAGCAGCCCATCTCCAGGGTGAAGGCTCCCATCTGACTGCCCCCCTGAGGAGGCCTCCTGTTTCTATGCTGTCTTGGAGATGATGGGCTTTGCTGTGATGTATCTAGGAACTGGGGTGCTGGGGGTGTCGGCAGGCCCTCATCCGGGCTGTGGGTCTCTTACCTGAGCTTGTCTGACTCTTTTCCGACACAAAGGACGCTGGTGGGTCCAGGTCCAGGCACTGTCCTGGGGCTCCACGCAGAAGGGGGAGGTCCTGCCAGCTCCCACCTGGGAGGGGCGTCACCTGGCAAAGGAGGGAGGGCCGCTCGCGGGGGGGTTCCTGGATGGAAGGCTGGAGGTCACAGGCACCCCGGCAATCTCTGAAGGCCCCAGGTGAGCCCAGAGGAGACAGCATGAAGGCCAGTTTTCAGTTAACTTTCTGGCAGTGACTTGTATAAAAGCCAGGTAAGACCCTGAGGCACGTGGGTGTCGCACTCAAGTCAGAGTCGGGTTTTCTGAAAGCCCATTTCAGACCTGGAACCTTCTCTTCACCTTCTCTCGGACTCCTGAACTTGATCTGACCTGAAGAATGACAGCAACCTGTTCACTGCTCTCAATGGCCCTGACCTGGTCTCTGGTCTCACCTGGCCTTCCCTGAGCTTCCAGGGAAATAGTCCCAGAGTGTCTGCTTTACTTCAACACTCCCTGGCAAGCCTGCCCTTGGTGCCTATGGCCCCCAGCCCACCATGCACCCCACCCCATGTCTGCGTGGCACTGTTTAAACTCTGGGCTGCTGCCAGGCCTCATGCATCCATCCTTTCCAGAATCCGTGATGCATCACAGGCACAGTGAGCAAAACTACCCCGTTCCTACACCCACACTTTGTCCAGTGTGATGGGAAAGACAGCAGAGACCCTCACATGTAAAATGACAGCTGTGTCTGGTTAAAGCAGAGGTGCACAGTGGTCAGAGCAGCCCTGGTAGCTTCGGAGGAAGGAAGGAACAAGGGGATCACTGAGCTGGGGGGGGATGGCAGCCGAAATGAGCCTGAACATGAGCTCATGAATGAGCCAAAATGAACCCTGTGGAGAGGAGGGTGGTCTTGAGAAAGGATCCTGGGGGCCTGGAGCCCAGAAAGCTGGAAGACCTGAGAGGTCACCCAGGATCCCCAAGGCCTGGCCAAATGCCTTGGTGTTTATTGCAAGAGCACTGGGGAGACACAGAGGGCTACAGGGGTGGGCAGGGCAGAAGGTTAGATTCACTGGAAAGAATGCCTCCAGCTGCCACGCAGTGAACAGACTAGAGGGGACAGGCGCGCATGGCAGACCCAGGGGCCACTGCCAGGGTCTAGGGAGAGCAGGAGACAATGCACTGGTGCGGCGAGCTGATCTGAAGGGGGAAACGAATGAGTCTGGAGTAACTTAGGACAATGCAGAAGCATCTTTTTGGTGCATTCAATATGGGTTGAGAGTACAGAAAAGACTTGCTTGCAAAATTTGGATGGATGGAAGTACTGTTCTTCAAAGCAGGATGTTCCCAAAGGAGACCAGATCAGGCAAGGTGACCTGAGCCTTGTTTGGGGCAGGCAAGGTTTGAGGGCTTTGAGGACATTCTCCTCCCTTTTAGCCCAAGCTCTTCTCAATCAGAGAGCTAGTCATACTTTTGTTGTTTAGTTGCTCAGTTGCGTCCAAATCTTTGCAACCCCATGGATTGCATATGCCAGGTTTCCCTGTCCCTCACCATCACTAAGTCACACTCAATGAACATGGGTGTCCTTCACTCATGTCCACTGAGTCAGTGATGCCATCCAACCATCTCATCCTCTGTTAGCCCCTTCTCCTCTCGCTTTCAATCCTCCCCAGCATCAGGGTCTTTTCCAATGAGTAGGCTCTCTGCATCAGGTCACCAAAATATTAGATCTTCAGCTTCAGCATCAGATCTTCCAATGAATATTCAGGGTTGAATTCCTTTGGGATTGACTGGTTTGGTCTCCTTACTGTCCAAGGGATTCTCAAGAGTCTTCTCCAACACCACAGTTTGAAAGCATCAATTCTTTGGCACTCAGCCTTCTTTATGGTCTAAATCTCCCATCCATACATGATTACTGGAAAAACCATAGCTTTGACTATATGGACCTTTGTCAGCAGAGTGATGTCTCTGCTTTTTAAAACACAGTCTAGGTTTGCCATAGGTTTTCTTCCAAGGAGCAAGTATCTTTTTATTCATAATTGATACTTTTTTCCCACCAAAATATATAGGCTTCACCTGGGATAGTCCCCTAACCAGAAATGAACTTGCCACCACCTCCCTCTATAGAGACCTGACCCACACTTCCAGCTGAGCTCTGCTGGTTCATACCCCAGCCCCTGGTTGAGGCTATGTCAAAGTCCCAGGGAGGCCCAGCCTCCGTCTTCCAAGACCACAGCCAACAAGTATCACCTCCCTCTCCAGAGAGGGTTCCAAGCTTGCTTCTCCTCGCCCTGCTTTCCAGCTAGTCACACCCATGCCTCAGCACCCTTCCTGGGTGGTGGGCTCTGGAGGATAGAAACCCAGCCTGTGGTCTCCATAGCCTCCACACCCCATGCCTGGGATCCAACCTGGCGCTGTCCCCAGCCTCCCCTTGCAGGCTTGGCGGGAGACGGCCACAGAGCCATCTCAGGGAGTGCGTTCCAAACAGGCAGGTGCTTCCTAGGGTGCAATTCCATCCTGTGCGCAGAGCCAAGGTCGAGCAAATGCCTCCGTGTAGAAAACACTCTTTAAAATGCATTACGTACAGGGGTTTAAAGAGATGCCCGTTGCTCGGTGAATTTCAAAAAGGAGCAAGTGGGTGATGAATGGCCTTGGCTTGCTACCAGGCTAAGGAGCGAGGGGCTCTGTCTGTCTGTGGTAAATAAAGTGTGGACATATATCACCTGTGGAGCACTGCTGGAGGGAGAGCCTGTTGGACATGGAAGCGAGGTTCCTAGTTCGTCTGAGCATCACACAATGAGGCTCTCATTTTGGATGAATCATGAAAGGAGTCACAGTGGTGGTGGTGGGGTCCCCTCGCCCACCATGGGAGGAGGCAGGGTCTCAGCTGCAGGCTCCTATGCAGAGAGGAACTTCTAGGAGGCTGCCTCAAAGCATGGACAAATGGTTGTGGTTGCTTTTTGGTTTTTTACCTTTTAACTAGAGTCTGTGTTTGAACTTTCCCATCCAAGACAGTGCTATGAAGCAGGTCTAAGGGCTTCCCTGGTGGCTTAGATGATAAAGAATCTACCTGTACTGTGGGAAGACCAGGGTTCAATCCCTGGGTCAGGAAGATCCTCTGGAGGAGGGGATGGCAACCCACTCCAGTGTTCTTGCCTGGAGAATCCCATGGACAGAGGAGCCTGGTGGGCTACAGTCCATGGGAGTCACAAAGAATCGGACATGACTGACCGACTAACACTTTCACACTTCAAGCCAGTTTTAACCTAGCCTATCTTAGAGCAGGAATGGGGAATAAGAGTTCATCTATAGGATATTAATACCATCCTTCAGTTTCCCCACCTGCTGGAGCTCTGAGAGACTAAAGCAGCGCAAGCTATGAGCATCTGTTATCCACCAGGCCCTGCATCTGGAACACTGGGTTAGGCATAGTGGGGAGACGAGGAAGGGTGTCCGGGGGTCTGTACACATGTGCTGCTATGAAGCTACACAGCCCCAAGTCCAAAGTGACAGGCTCGACCTGAGAAGATGAACTCGAAGGAGCTCGGTCCACAAGTGACGAGCCAGAGTCAGGAGATTTGCTCTTGCTTCAGGGACTACACCTGGCTGTTCGCAGGTTTCTTTTTTTCCTGAATTACAAATCTGTCCCCAGGATCCCTCTGGGCCCCAGGGAACTCGGAGTTGTCTCGGGACTGAACACAGACGCAGAACTGAGATAAAGGATGAGCCCATACCGCCAAGGTGAGCGCAAGTCTAATCACCCTGAAGCAAGTGGTGCGGGCAATTATTCATACAGAGTACTTCTGCAAAGATGGACAGCTTCTGGGGATGAGGAGGCTGGGTTGGTGACCTTGGGCAAGTTATTTGCTTCTGGGATCCCTCACCCTGCACCCTATCTGCAGACGAGAGGCACATGCCAACCAGTGCCCGGTGTATCTGAGAACCCTCACCATGCCTGCTACTGCAGTATTCCTACCCACGTCTGTTACGGGAAGCGACGAATGATGCATGGGTGTCAGACTTCGCCCGGTGCAGATGGGCTAGCCCCTTGCTCAGCTCCCCTGGACAAGTAACACTCAACACTCGGTGTGTGCAGGCCAAGGCAGGATTTCTGGCTGGGCTGCCCACTGGCACCATCTTGGTTTGCTGAGCTTGGGATTTTCCTGGCAGTTTAACTCAACTTTGTCACCTTTTTACATTAAGACAGAAGCTCTGGTGTTACACTGCCTGGTTCGAATTCCAGTTTTACCACCTAATATGGGCATAGGGAGTGACACCCTCTCTGCCTCAGTTTCCCTGTCTATAGCATGAGGATAAGGACAATGCAAAGCACTTGAAATGGCACCAGAGGGACGGCCCTGGTGACTCAGCAGTTGAGAATTTGCCTTTCGATGAAGGGGATGAGGGTTCAATCCCTGGTCAGGAAACGAAGAACTCATGTGCCACAGGACAACTAAGCCCACTAGAGAAGCCAGCACATTACAAGAAAGAGCCTGTGCAGCCAAAAAAATAAAATTACATTTAAAAAGAAAGAAATGGCACTAGACACGGAGGAAACCCTAATAACGTCCCTTCTTATTGTAGCTGTTACTGTTATCTTGACACCATGCGATGAGGCTGCCACAGTGGGTGCCCCAGAATGGGGTGGGGAAGGGTCTTACCTGTTCCTCCTCACTGCCTGAGGTCCACAGTACAGAGCGCAGCTCCTGGTGCTCACCTCGGCTTGGCGACCTCGTAGGGACCGCCTCCCTCTCTTCTGGCTCCTGGGAGAAAACACAGCTTTCAAATCCCCAGCCATCAGCTAAATCCCATCTATGAGACTGCTGAGTACCTAAGATGCCCTCCCACCTCAACAGGAAGAAGAGGCCTCAGTGGACAGGGGTGGGAAGGTGCGGGGGTTGTTCAAAACTGAGACTTTCCCGACTTTCCCTCTTCCTGAGGTCTCTAAGACCACTGGGTAGGAAGTGAAGTGTTAGTTGCTCAACCATGTCTGACTCTTTCCAACCCCATGGACTGTAGCCCATCAGGCTCCTCTGTCCATGGGATTCTTCAGGCAAGAACACTGGAGTGGGTTGCCATTCCCTTCTGCAGGGAATCTTCCCGACACAGGAACTGAAACACGTCTCCCACATTGCAGGCAGATTCTTTACCATCTGAGCCACCAGGGAAGCCCTTCCCACGGTCCCCCCGCTCTACTAAATGCTTGGGGCAGGGGCTGCTCTCCACCATGGGGGGGTGGGCATGAGCCAGGTGCTGTTTGAAACACACACTCACTACTCTCTCCACAGGGGAGTGGTAAGGAGCGAGAGCTGACACTCTTTTTGCCATAGCAGGTTTTTTTCCCAATCTGATGCATGTTTTGCTCTTCCAGCATATTGCAATTTGGATGCTAAATTTTCATCAGAAGTACTTGATCTGTATTTAGATTTCATAAAATGTAAAGTGGAAAACATAGATCCACTCACTCAAGTTGTTCCAAACAAATTTTAAGTTTCCCAATAACCAAGTCGAGTGTTAGTTTTTAAATTTTCATTTTAATTAAGCAAAATGAGACATCTGCTTACCCGGTCGCAGGAGCCACGACTGAAGTGCCCAGAAGCCACGCGTGGCTGGTGGCAGCTGGTGGGCTGGATGGTGCTGATGGAGAACGTTCTTTCCATCATCATAGAAAGCTCTGTTTACTGGACAGTCCTACTCTAGATCAAGCCCTGGGGGTCCCAGGGAAGATGCAGACCCCAACGGGCAGGTGGGGGGTGGGTGCCGAGAGTCCCCATCACTGACAAGCTCCTGGCCAGGTTCACAGGCCAGGCTCGGAGTAGGGATACTTGTGGGACACCCATGCATCCTGCTCCAGCCCTGCCTCCTAGTAAAGCCATCCACCCCTCCCCCACTTCCCCAGGGCTCCTGCCCCCTTCTAGTCAGGGCCAGCAAGGTCTCCAAGAATTTCTGTGAACAAGTAAGATAGGAGGGCTTGGGACCTCCCTGGTGGTCCTGTGGTTAAGAATCTGTCAGACAATGGAGACGACGTGAGTTTGATCCCTGGTCAAGGAACTACTATCCCATATACCGCAGAGCAACTAACTTTAGCGCTACAACTAGAGAGGTCATCCAGAATGAAAGATCCCACACTTTGCCCAAAAAATCAAAAATCTCAAGTGTAGCAACTAAGACCTGGTGCAGACAAATAAATAAATAAATTTTCAGAAAGAAAGACAGGGCTCGTACAGGTGATTCTCAGGGAACTGTGCCTCCATCGATGAGCAGCTGTAACTTTTTGCAGTCATTTTGCTCATTAAACTGAAAGATGCCTCTTTATAGCTTACACCCTCCACCTTCCTTCTGTTCCCTGGAGCTGAGTGGAGCCAGCCACACAGCTGAGTGTGCCTCAGCTGCACAATAGCCCTTTAAACTTTCTAAGGCAGCTATCACATCTCCTTAATCTTCTCGTCTCCAACTTTAAGCTGTCACAGCTTGTCTGTTTAGGACCATGGGAGGAGAGACCCATGAGCAGCTATCAGTCATTCACACTCTAGTGAGAATTTGTTCATCTGCTTGCTTCCTTCTGTATGTCTGGTAGGTGAACAAATGGTCCCAGTTCTCTGGGGACAACTTACCCCAGACTGCAGGGCCTGCTGTTGCAGCAGGAGAACCAATGTGTAGTAGGACAGCAACAGGATCAGGGGGTTTACCATTTCTGGCCAGCTGAGACCGGGATGGAGGTGAAGCTTCCAGAACTCTGTGTGGTTGGTCCTGATGAGGGCGGTCATCCCCAGCAGCCTGCATGCACAGAGCCACCAGGTGCTGCCATGGACCTCCCAGGTTGGGCACCCCTTCTTGGAAGCTCCTGCACCTTAGCCTTCTCTGCCCTGTGGAGCCCTTTCCCTGGGGGTGGGGGGATGGTCAGACTCAGGGTGGAGGGTGAGATAGGGCACTCCGCGGGGCCCTGGCTGCCTTACAGCAAACCTGCTTAGATGGCCTTTCCTCCGCACTGTGCCCCCAGGGCCAAACCAGGAGTCCCCCCTGTGTGTTCCCTCAGCCCCCTCCCCAGCTGTGGGGCTTGTCATGCTGTCCAGCTGCTCATCTGCCTCCCCCATCAGATGGGGAGAGCCATCTGCCTTGCTTGTTGGCCCTAGGGCTTCACTAACCTCCCAGTTGTCAGTCTCCATCCTTCTGGAGGGCACTAGAAGCCCGTCTGTAGGTGAAAAACCTCTGCAAGGCCACATCTCTCTTGTTTGTCTCTATATCACCAGGGTCGGCACCTGGAATGCTTTAGGACTTGATGAGGCTTGTGGAATGAATGATTGACAGCAGGCAGCCAAAATGGAGGTAGGTGGGGCTGCTCTCCTTCCGAACAGAGGCAATGGTGGGCACAGACCTTAGATTCCCACACAGGTGTGGCTTCCTCCCAAGCTGGCCACAGTCTTAGCATCAGCCTTCAGGACAAGGAAGCTGATGAACACCTCCTGTGCTCACTCTCTCTCATGTGGTCAAGAAGATACCAGTGGGGGAAGGTTTTGCTCACCTGAAGCCAGCCCTTTTTAGGGAAAGGCAAATGCAGCCATGGCCATCTAAAGGGCAGTACCCACCCCCCCAAGGGAGGCTGGACCCTCTGGCATGCATGGTGGAGACAGTCTGGTCAGTACCTGGCGTAAATGTCATCGGGAGGCACGCAGTTCTGGAAGAAGGGTAGCTGGTAAATGTACAGGCCCCCCAGGTGGCCGGCGGTGAAGATGGCCATGAAGACACACAGGGTGCTGAAGGCCATGGTGCTCAGAGCCTGGCCGCACGCCCACCAGGAGCCCAGGCCCAGGAAGGCCCCAAAGTACACAGCCGAGGTCATGGAAGGGGAGATCATCCCTGGGGAGACAACCCCCACCCACATGATGGGCAGCCCCGCCTAGCCTGGAGTCCCAACTAAGTGATCCACGACCGAGGCCTAGACTGGCCACCACAACCGCAGGCCCCAGAGAGAACGGGGGGATGCTGTAGACACCCAAGTTTGGGTTTCCTTGGGGTGGCCCGAGCTCTTATATCTGATTAGCAGTGGGAGTTGATAGGCCACGCCCCCATGGAGATTCCACAGAGCCTGGGGCTGTGGCTCTCTGTCTCTCTTCTGCCCTGGAGACACACAGTCCAGTCCTCAGCTGGGCCTCTGTGTCCCCTTTCTCTCAACAGCTGTGGCCCCATTCCCTGAGTGCCCCCAGCCCACCCCAACCTACCCAGGGTCTGTCTCCCCCCACCACGGGGACCTCCTGGTACCTGCTGCACCCAGGAGAAGGGTCACCAGGACCTTCCATGCAGCGGGGAAGAAGGGCTCCAAGGCAGCTTTCAAGCCTGATGTGAAGGCAGCAACTTTCAGGACCCACTCCTCGCTTGTCCCCTCGGCCTCCGTAGCCTTCTCATCACTGAGCTCAGAGCACCAGCAGGGGACATCGCCCTCAGTATCGCTCTCATAATGCTGGAAAAGGCAAAGGGGAAGCCAGAAAGAACCATGCGTCCTTCTCTGCCTGACAGATGAGCGGCTCTCTGACCTGGAAGGGTTTGGATCAAGCATCTGCGGTGCAAGGGGCCCAGAGAGGGGGAGTGACTTGCTGATGGTCACACAGCAGGTTCACACTGGGATGCAAGCCATGCTCCTGGGAGCCAGTCTCAGCACGGCCTGCACTCTGCTCTTCGCCTTCCTCTTCCCCATCTCATGATGATAACCTGATGTGAGGACAAAGCCTTGCTGAGAGGACTTCTAGCAAATTCCTAAACCTAAGGGTGGCCTTGGGGGCTCTCAAGAGGTGTCATGACCTCACCCAAGTCCATCCTCCACCTGGGCCTCTCTTACTACCCCAAAGTGAGGAATAAAAGCCAAAAAGTCTCCCCGTCCTTCCAGAAATGTGTGCTCAGCCTCTCAGTCATGTCCAGCTCTGTGACCCCAGCCCACCAGGCTTCTCAGTCCATGGGATTTTCCAGGCAAGAATACTGGAGTGGGTTGCCATTTTTCTTCTCCAGGGGATCTTCCCAACCCAGGCATTGAACCCACGTCTCTTGTGTCTCCAGCATTGGCAGGCAGGTTCTCTACCGCTAGCACCACTTCCAGGGATATCTGCCCTTAAATCGCCTGTGTGTGTGCACTGATACTTCAGCTGAAAGAATGAATCCCTAACAGTGGGACTTCAGCGGAGTGGGGAGAGTCAGGAAACTTCGGCAGCTCAGGAGGTGTCCCTCCCAGCCCCCGCCCTAAGGACCGTGCCCCATAAAGTGAGAATTTCGGGTAGCAAGGGAGCCCTCCCAGGCCGGTTCCCTGCTGCTAGTTCCAGCCTCATTTCCAGTGGATGCTGCTCCTCCTTCGCTACTTACTGGGCAGCTGGTCCAGGCCTGCTTTGCCCAGGTGCTGGGACACAGTTCAGTGGACAAGCTGCCGCCTGGGGAGCCACATCCTCCCGGGAGGGTCGGGGTGCCTATCTGCCTCAGAAGTGCTGACAAGGCCTGCAGGGTGGACCGTTTTTAACTTTGAGGAACTCTGCATTTCTCCTTTTTTGTGGGAAGTGCTGATAAGGCCTGCAGGGCTGATCCTTTTTGAGGAACTCAGCATTGTCTGTCGCGAAGGCCACTCAGCATCTTGTGGGGCGCGTGGTCTCAGCCACCTCCTGGCACCCCTTCTCCTACCTACCTCCATGCTGTCTCTCTCTCCCGCCGTCTCGTCCTCCTCGTGGTCCATGGTATCGAAAGGGGAAGGTGCTGTGGTCCCAGGAGGCCTCGCCAGCTCATGGCCCAGCCTGGCGGTGACCAGGCCCACAAGTGCCATCCCAATGTCCGGGGCCAGGAGGCGCACAATGTCCATCACATCCACCCGGCTGAACCTGAGTTGGGGGTGGGGGGCCGAGAGAGTGTCTAGCCTGGTTCCCTGCCCCCTCCCACCCCCAACCCCCACCCATCACAGTCTTGCCCCTCTTCCAAGAAGGGTGACTGTGTCCCACCCATCCCAGGAGGCTTCCCTTCACCTCTCGCCAACCCCCAGCCCTTTCTGGACCTCCCTGTCACTGGGTTATCTTCCCCAGTTATGGGGTCCACTTCCCCCAGGACTCAGGTCCTCTGGGGAAGAAACCTGCCATGCTCTGCTGTCTGTCTCCAAATGCTTGCTTGGGTCTGGGCATCTAGACGCTTCTCAATCAACAGGGGTCAGGGGTCTGAGTTTTCCCCCTGCAGTCCACCCTTGTGCCCGAGTCCCCCTCACCTGATGACCCCCAGATGCTGGATGGCCTCCTCCCAAACAGCACCTGCAGAAGACACAGTGGCTCAGGCTCCAGCCTCCAAGGTGCTCGGGGGCTGCAGGGACACTGGGCAGCCCAGGCAAGGCTGGCCTCTCCCCTGGCCACCTCGGGACACTTAGGGATCTCGGCCCTCTGTGGGAGGATGGGGACGACCTCGTCCACATTTCCTCCTGGCGCTACGGGCAGGTAGGGGAGCATCATGACCTCATCTCTGCCCACGACTGGCTGGTTCTTGCTGACAGTCAAGCACAGAGTCAGGCATCACCCAGGGCCAGAAGGGGACTCAGGAGGGCGAGTCGGGAGGGGTCTGAAGTGGGGACAGGTAGGGGCACCTCCAGACTGAATCCTGAGGAGAAGGGTGGGGAATCACCTGGGAAGTGGTGGGGTCCCAGAAGCCAAGTGTCACCCCCGTGGATGCTGTCCCAGACAGGAAGTCAGAAATGGCCCCAGAAGCATGCTCGTTAGAAATGTAGGAAGAAAGGGCTAAAAGCACAGATTAGGGACCGAAGGGTGGGATAAAGGACCATCTCTTTCGTCAGGAGCGAATGGAACTCTTCGGCTTTTCAATTATGCATGTGCATTACTTTGATAAAAAGAAAGAGCTAGAGCTGTGCTAGACTTCCTGGATTCACGTGATGGGAGTAAGAGGTTCTGAGACGCCAAGATATGCAAGCAAGTCAAATCAAGTACATCTGAGGGTCATTACTTAACAGGCTGGTGAAACAATCAGTTGAGCGTAATAGACAGTCAATTCCAGGGAGTTGACAGAACCCTGTGCAAACCCATCCATTGGTTTGGACCAGGACTCAGGAAACTTATTCTATAAAAGCACCCGATAGTAAAAATCTTCAACAAAAGCAGCGACGGACAATACGTGTACCCCGCCGGGTGTGGCCACGAACCGATAAAACTTTATGGGAATTTCAAATTTCAGTTCCCGTAAATAATTTCCGTGGGTCAAGAAAAATATTCTCCTTTTGACGTGGGTTTTCTTTATCTGAGGTAAATCGGATCTACCGAATTGGAAACTTGTCCCCAGTGCCTCACTTCCCAGAGGCTGATGGACTCGGTGACGTCACGCCTAGGCACAAGAGTGGGAAAACACGGGGGGTCCGACCCACACAGCTCAAGAGGACCAGGTGGTACCCGAGCGGCCAGGTCATGGACGCGTCCCCTTCATTTCTTGTCCATTTCATCCAGGGTTTAAATGTTTTACAGTAAGTGTGCATTTCTGTAGAATCAGAACAGAGTCTATGCCATAAAGATTTATAAAAATCAATTCAGGGGAAATAAATGTAACGTCTTATTTTGACTAGACCTCCACGTGCCTCAGGAAGCACTGGGGATGGGTGGGTGGGAGGAAACAGGAGAGACGGAGGCACCAGCTTGGTGGGGAGGGAGGGGCTGTGAGAACCAGATGCTTAGGGGGCCGGTCCCCTGTCTCTTCCCATCCCGGTGGTGATCCACATGTCCCACCGAATCATGCTGGAATTTCTGACGAACAATGGAGAAGTTTCAGTACGTGTCTGTCCCAGGAAATATTTGGGACATCCTCATATAAAAGTGTCTTTCTTGTTTATCTGAAATTCTGATGTAACTGGGTGTCCTGTGTTTACATGTTCTAACTCCGGTGACCCTGTGACTTGGGAACCTGGGCTCGGGGAGGACGTGATGGAAACTGTGCGCCTTCCTCTCAACAAATACCCAGCCCCCACTTTGCAAACAATTCCAGGGAGTTGACAGAACCCTGTGAAAACCCATCCATTGGTTTGGACCAGGACTCAGGAAACTTATTCTATAAAAGCACCCGATAGTAAAAATCTTCAACAAAAGCAGCGACGGACAATACGTGTACCCCGCCGGGTGTGGCCATGAACCGATAAAACTTTATGGGAATTTCAAATTTCAGTTCCCGTAAATAATTTCCGTGGGTCAAGAAAAATATTCTCCTTTTGATGTGGATTTTCTTTTTTTTCTTTCTTCCCAACCATTTAAACATGTAGGAATTATTCTTGGGACTTGACCCCGGGGCCATGGTTTGCCCACCCTGAGTCTAGAGCCCCCCAGCTGACTCCCTCCTTATCTCCCATGCCCTCCATGTCCTGCTGCAGCCCTGGTGCCACCTGAATGGAGAAGGCATGCGTGGTGCCCCCATGAAGCCCGAGGTTTTCAGAAGTTGCAGGGAGGGCTTTTAGGGAGACAGTTGTCATAGAAGGAATAAGAGTTGGTACCAGTCTGATCTTTCTAATGATTAAATCACTCGTGGGCCCACAGCCTCGGGGTCCTTGCATCCAAGCTGCTGGGGAGCAAATGGGAAAGTGGTCTTTACCTTCAGGTCCCAGGGAGACAAAGGCAACCTGTAGGGCACCCTGCAGCAGTAGGAAGAGGACACTGGTGATCCGCACGGCTCGCAGGAAGAGCTTGGTGCTCCCTGGAAGAGAAGAGGAGCCGGGGAATACAGGGTGAGGGTGCCAGGCAGCCTGGGAAGGCCCATGCAACTCTCTTTCTGATGCCAAGCTCTGCCCTCAGCTCTCACTGGATCCCTGGTGATGCATCCCCAAGCAGGTGGTGGCTTAACTGGGGTGTTGAGAAACGAAGTGGGCCACCCCTCCTATTTCCTATCACCCCGTCTCCTGAGCTGTAGGACTCACAGCTGCTCTGTATCCAGCCCAGCCCCATTGGACCCCAGCATGGGGCCATATTGGATTTGTGACCATGCACATCACCATCTAGAGACATGTGACTTCCCTGTGCAGGTGTTGAGGGGGAGGGCACAGACTTGCTGGTGAGCACAGCAAAGCCTCTCCCAAGGTCAGTCCCGCTCCTCGGGGACGTTGAGCCCAGCGGCAACAGTGAGCTTTTCCAGAGGCTAGCCGTCCTCGGTTCAAAGGGTGGTCTTTGCAGGCAGCGGGACCTGGTTTGCCCTGCATCCTGAGCACCTGGGAGGCGCCCGGAGAACACTGGTCGAGCGAATACATTATTTAATCAGGCCTGAGATTCAGTCCTTCTTGTTCAGGTCACCCTCAGGGAGCCCAAATGCTCTTTCTTTTACGAGAAGTGGCCTGAGAAGGTAACTGCTTCCTAATGGCCTCTCCTGATGAAATAAAAAAATGGCACTCTCCCCTCTAAATTTTTTTTTTTAACAGGACTATAAAATCCCAAATCTGGGGATTGGTGCCTTAAGTGAAGAGTAAGAACAAGCTCCCAGTGTGTTCGTTTACTGGGAAAGAGGATCCCTAGGGCCCTAGGAATATTCTGTATTCATCCATAGCTCCCATTAGCTCCAAAGAACTTTCTGACACAGATGCCTCGGTCCCTCCACCAGCTTTGTAAAACAAGGCATCGAAGAGTGTTTGATATTGATCCCTGGGAAGATACTGAGGAAATTCTCTGGCTGCAGCCGAGACACATTAAAAGGCTATTTCTTTAAAGGCTGGATGACACAGTCCATAAGTATGGCATGTGATTTTGTTCACCTCCCCTTCCCAATCCACCTGCTTGCCATCGGGGTCGGCCTACCTCTCATGCAACCAGCCGAAGGTGCCCCCAGCAGTGGGCTGAGCAGAAGAAACACCAGGTAGACCACTGAGAAGCCATTGTACCTGGATAAAACAGCTGAAGGACAGGGGGGAAAAGTGAGCTGGGTCTAAGGTACCCTGAGAGCCCCGCAGTGGAAATGAAGACAAACAGGAGAGTGAGCAGGAAACAGATGTGCTGAAATCTCATTAAGAGGGTCTTGAAAATCAACCTGTCAGGATTAGATGCTTGTTCTTTCCAAGTGGTTTTTTGAATTCTTGGGTTTTTGTTTTTTTTTTTTAAGAAAATAAATAATTCTATAGATTCTTCTCCCCAATCAGTTGCCTGCCTTTGAAATTAACCATTTCTCTGGCTCTCCTTCTGATTGGGATCTTGTCCCCCCTCAGTCTTTCTGAAGTGCTATTGTGCCAGGCGCGATTCGCTCAGCCACACACAATGTAACTTTGAAATGTGATGGAAAAAAAATTAGCATTTCCAGTGAACTGGAAAGAATGCATCTGATTTCAAAATGTGTACTTAAAAAAAAGAAAAAGAGCACCCAGATTGATTCTACCAACTATGGTGCTTTTTCTGCCAAGCCAAATCTGAAATGCGTTTTTGCAAACGGACAACTTTATTTATGATTTTTTTTTTTTTAGAGGAAGGAAATATGAAGATCCAAGCACAAGGAGAAAAAAACATCTTGAGGATTTAATATACCTTGGATTAATCAAAGCACCAGCTTTTAAACTGTGTGCCCCCATGGAGGGGTGAATTAATGAGTGATTTATACAATGAATATATTTTTTTCTTTAATTATCTAGGTATTTCAGACGAACCTGCTTTTTCTGACTTGAATTCTCCAGATACTTCTCTGAAATTTTAGCTTCACTTTGCATGTATAATTACAGCCTCAAGTTGTTCAGAGAGCAAGTCTCTAGGTAGAGGGAAACTTATCTGGCCCCCCTACCCTCATGCAAATCAAGCTGGTTGCTCACCACTCAATCTCACCTCTACCCTGAATCCTTCTGCAATGAAGAATCCATTTTGGAATTATCTTTAGATCAGGGTTTCCAAGGCTGGCTTGGTGGGGAAGTGAGGGGAGGTTAATCAGAATCCAGGTGCTGAACCCCATGCCTGGAAACTCAGAACCGGCAGGTCTGGGGTGCGGCCTGGAAACATGTATTTCTAAAGATCCACCTAGCAGAGTGGTCGATAACCCCTTCCTGCCTCTGCACTCACACAGACAGCGAGAGCTAGAAGAAAATGCTCAGTTAGACAAGCTCGCTTGTCTGCTGCCTTCCAAGGGCAATCTGTAGACCCAAGGCTGAAGCTGAAGGCTGAGAAGATGGATATTCCCCTCTCACAGTGCAAACTCAGTTGCAATTTAGATCTCCAAGAAATGGGAGGGGGGAGGGGGTGGACTGTGGAAACAACTTATGTCTGCAGCCTGTGCGGCTCCCTAACCACACTGGGTCGGTACGCCATCGTTGTCCCGCCTTCCAGGAGATAGGGAGAGGGCTGGTGGCGCATGGTGGTGGAGTTCCCAGCCCAGGCCCCCTCAGGGGTCAAGCTCGGCCTTATCTCCCCCCTGCAGCTTTGCCAAAATGGACAGCCAGTTTGTAAGAATCAAGGGAGGAGGACCACCGAGGCGGCTTGAGCAACCGGGAGCTCAGGGCGGCAGACATTAGCCAGTGGGATGTCCCTTCCTGCCTCAGAAACAACCAAGCCATCTTACCTGAGAGCAGGGAACACGGCAGCAGGACCCGGAAGAGAAGCCTGGACATCACCTCTGAGGCCATGGGCTCCGGGCCGCCCTGCGATCGCTGCATCTTTGCAGGGCGTCCTGCCCATCCTCTCCTCGGCACCCTGCCCGACCCGGCCCGTTTTAAACCAGAGGAGGGGAGTCTGGGAAAGGGTGGAGATCACCCTGACCCTAAAGTGCTCGGTCAGTGGAAAGAATCGATCCTTCTGCCTTCTCCCCTCTGCCCCCAACCCCTGTGGAGTCTAGAGGCTCCACGTTGATGCCTAGACTCACTGCCCTCCACTCTGCCCCCCTTCAGAGTGGAGGAGGGGCCTGGTTCTGAGACGGGCCAAGATGGATGCTCCCGGCCAGCCTCTCCCTCCTCTCCCCACCGGAGAACTTTCGGGAACCAGAAGCCTTGAGTTCAGAAACGTCCAAGAGTGGCCCCGTCTCCATTAACACCGGCGTCCCAGCCTCCAGGGCCTGGGCGTCTTCCTGGCTTGGGTAATTATTTTTTCATTAGCTCTATCCATACTAACCTGCAACCTTCACTAGATCCTGGAGCATAGAACAGTCATCTCTGGACACACACACGATCACCTAGGTGCATGGCTCTGTCTGCCAACCCTCCACCCCATGCCCACTCCCCCACCACACAGGGCAGGCATCTGGCCCCAGGTGCCTTGCACACCCACCCTGGACGCCTCCTCTGACGCCCCTGGAAAGGGCCCCGTGACCTGGGCATTGTGCTGGCTTGAGAGCTGCTGTGTTCCTGGGCCTGGGAACGGGTGTGGGAACATTCCATAGTTACAAGAAGCTGCTCCCCCAGCCCCAAGAGGCAGCCAGAGCATCTTCAGAGTCTGGAGGGGTCTGCCTCTGGGGCCGACAGCCCAGGGGTCAGTGTTCTGGATGCTGAAACAGCCACCTGTATACACTCACTCACCAGAATTTATTGAACACCTACTTTGTGGTGGGCACTATTCTAATGACTGGACTTCAGCAGGGAATCAAGGAAACCTGTCTAGTTGGTGATGACATACGCGGCTTACAGTATTCAGTAGTTTTTGACCCAGGCCAGCTACCAGCCCACTGGTCCCCAGCCTTGGCTCTTCTCAGGAGCCCTCTCAGGACAACCGAGCCTGGCCTGGCCCCTTTCCTTTGTCTTGCCTCTCGGGGTGGTCCCTGCTCCTCTGACTCTGGAGTCAGACCTGGATTTGAGTCCTGTTCCCTTGATCTTGGTCTGTGTGGCCGGGAGCAAGCTGCCCACCTTTTCTGAGCCTCAGTCTGCCTGTCTGTGAAAGAGGATCATTCCAGCACCTTCCTCGTGAGATCCAGTGGGGTGATGTGTGCACATCGGTGGTCCACACTCACCATGGTGCCAGCTGGGCTTATTCGCTGTTTCCAGGGATGAGCTGGAGGCCCCTGGACACACTCCACTCATGTCTGTCTATGCCCAGTAGCCTCCAACACTATCTAAAACCTCAAAGACCTACCAGAAACTTCTCCACAAACCAGCCAGATAATCTAGCTCCCCAGGAACCTGACTTTCCTAAATTCAAACCTAAATCAAAGTTGTTTTCTTTGTAATTCAGTCTCTAAGTCGTGTCTGGCTCTTTGTGACCCCATGGACTGCAGCACACCAGGCTTCACTGTCCTTCACTATCTCTCAGAGCTTGTTCAAACTTATGTGCACTGAGTCAGTGATGCCATCCAACCATCTCATCGTCCGTTACCCCCTTCTCCTTAGGCCCTCAATCTTTCCCAGCACCAGAGTCTTTTCCAATAAGACCATTCTTCATATCAGGTGGCCAAAGGACTGGAGCTTCAGCTTCAGCATCAGTCCTTCCAATGACTATTCAGGGTTTACTTCCTTCAGGATTGACTGGTTTGATCTCCCTGCTGTCCAAGGAACTCTCAAGAGTCCTCTGGCACCACAATTGGATTAACTAGGCTTTCGATAGAAGAAAATAACCAACCAACGAGGAGATGACCATGAGCTCATGCACAGGGACCAGGCTGTAACCAAACTCCAAGTGAGTGGGCACTTGGGGTATTCTGAAGGTAGACAGAGGACTTCTGTGTAGCATGACTCCACTTGGCACTCTCAGCCCGCCCGGCTGAAATTCCAATAGGGAAAAACCCTTAGGACCTTCTCCCTTGGAGCCCTCCATGTGTTTCCACAGTGTGATTCAGAGCTCACCTGCATTTAAGAATCCTATAAAACAGTATTGCCATCTCACTGGTTAACCAGTTTTTAGATCTTCTGAGGGGAGCTTTATCCCAGGACCCATGTCTGGCCCTAGCTGTCTGCACTCTCTCTGAGAATGAGCTACAGGCAAGTGTTGATCCAGCCAAATGCTGGAGTTCAATAGACTTCCCTTATCAGCTGGAGATTTGCGGCACTTAGACATCAGAGAGTGGACAGTACGTTCTAGGACAGAACAGAAAGTGCCTTCTAAAACAGAATAGAAGGTGAGGGTCATCGTCTCTGAACAGAGGTGGACAGACCCAGCCAAAGAGCACAGTGTACTCTGGGGAGCCTTGCCCCACCCACCTAAGCACAGGACACCTGGATTTTCTCCTCAGCACAGTAATTAAAATCTCACTGCAGAGGCCTGTTTATTTCCTCTTTTCTCGATCCTATTGCATGAGAGTCCAGGAGACCAGGTCATCAAACGTCAGACAGATTTGCAGAGGAGAAGGGGCCGTGTTGTACAGAGCTGTGTGTCCCCGACTTCAGCGCCCAGGGATCTAGCTCTGTGGTTTGTGCTTATCTGCAGGCTCAGCTGTGCTATTGTTTACTCAATACTGCTCTGCTCTTGCGTTACTTAAATTATTTGAAAGGGAACTTTGACACTCCCACAGTGGATGGAAAAATCTATACCACTTGCCACACATAGGAAATATCCCTAAAAACAAGTCCATGCTTATCAGCCTAATAACCTAGCCAGATATCACCCTAATAACCTAGCCATAACATATCAGCCAGAGGCAGGTTAAGGGGGTTAAGAGTTCTAGAACAAGTCACCACCCACGACTAGAGTCTGTCATCAACACGTTGTAATTTGAAGACATCTGAAGATCACGGCACATTAGCAAAGCAAAGCGTCTTAGAAAACAACTGCAAAATGAAAAACTCCAAGATCCGGAGAGGGGCCCAGGTTTGCCCAAGGCGATACACTGGAGTTGGTTTCCTAGGAATTCATCATCCTTTCCGCGTGATATGTTTTTCAGAACAAATTAGCATGGTGTGTGGTTGTTTTCTCTTTTTAAAGGAAACTTAATTTTATGTATTTATTTCTGAGCACTTATTTCTGGTTCAAAAAAATCAAAACATAGAAAAGGGTGTAAGGGTAGCACGTCCTGTGGGCTCTCTCCTCCTGGCCCCCCCTTCCCCTCCTGGGACCCAGCCAGCCCGGTTCACTGGTCTATACAGACTAGGTGTATACAAGCCAACGCACACGTGCATATTTTTTCCTTTCTTTATAAACACAGATGGTAGCACACTATAAACATTGTTCCCCACCGGGCCTCAACAATGTGACCGTGATGACGCATCTCCTCTCACTGTGCAATGCGTCTCCGGGTCTGTTTTTAGCGCAACATGGTAATTCCATGGGCAGGGGAGGAATGGGGTTATTTAACTGGTTCTCTATGGCGGGCATCTACGTGGTTTCCAGTCTGTTGCTATTACCAACCAATCCTCAATGAATAAACCTGTTTATTCATCATCGCCAGCCCGCTCGAGAGGACAGCAGCAGAACAAATTCCTGGCAGTGCAATTAGCATGTGTTTCAGAACGCCGTTTTGCAGGTGTTTGTAATGTTCCGTCCCCGCGGGACGGAGACCTGGGCCAGCGAGGTCAAGACCAGGGGACATGAGGGCCCAAGAGTTGCTTTTTATTTTCTCCATTTCAAGAAATTGTCTCTCCCAGCCAAGGTCTTTGGAGGAAAAAAAAAAAAGAAAGGATAATTCAATTTGAGTTGCACACCCCCTGACTGGGTTCTCTATGAATTATGGATTTTTAAAAAGACAGAAAGGGAGGTGAGATATTGAATTTCCAAACTGGTTTTATCTTACTCAATTTAAAGTTCATCTCCTGATTCTTGTGTAGGTGCTGGCGTGCCAAGTGACCACAGAGGCGTGTGTCCCGGCCCTCTCCCAATTAGTCGGGGGCTTTGTTCAGGGCCAGCAAACACCGGTTGCCCTGTGGTCTCTCAGCTGGAGCACAGCCTGCCTGCCTGTCATTATGTTTTGAGAAACCGGAGCCCCAGGCCTCACCACCTCCTGGTGAGGCTCATTCAGGGGACTCCAGGGCTCGCAGACCACCGGGGGTTCCCTGCTTGGGTGAGGGGCTATGTGTCATATTAGAGAACCACAAAGGGAAGACTTTTGAAGATGGAAAACACGAGCAGTGACTCAGAAATGCAGCAGATGAGCCTCCTGAGCCAGAAGCCTGTACCACTGCTCTGAGGCCTTCTCGTTAAAACACTAAGTATGCCTGGCCAGCCCAGTGGCTCTGCACCAGCGTGATCGTCACCCTCCCCCACTGCACCGTTTGGCCTTGGCTAGAGACATTTCTAGTTGTCATGGACTTGGGGAAAGGAGGGGTGGGTGCTATTAGTATATCGTAGGTGAAGTCTGGGGTTGGGGGTCAACAGTGTCTCTGCCTCCCCCCTCCATCCTCAGAGCAGAGAGTTATCCCACCTGAATGTCAACAGTGCCTCAGTGGAGAAACCCAGCTCTTAGCCTGGCCTTGAGATGAAATCAAAATGATCTGGGTGCTAAATGCTACCTCAGGAAGGTGGGAGTCCTAGTTCTGCCCACCCTGAGCATAAGAGATTGTGGACCCTGCTCTATTTCCCAGTCCTGGGCACATAGAAGACCCCCCCTGAATGCCAGTCTCCTGAATTTCTAGGCTGCAAAAATGTACACATCACATCAGAGGGAAGATGGATACATGGGAAAAGCAATAACTCAACACTCTCAACAATTCTTCTCCTCTGGGCTCAGAGAGCCTCTTTCCAGGACACTGTTACTTTATATTCCTACAATATC